GATCAGGTGGTTAGTCTGGACCTTCAGGATCGCGGTTTCCATGCCCCTTTTTGTCCTGAGCTGTCGACATTACGTACGTTCTGCTATCAGTGGGAAAGGTTCGCCAACTGCTTCAGAAGCTCGCCCATCCTTTTCTCAGAACATTTTGTCAAGTCAGAATAAAGACCAGCTCAAGCCAGTCTCCAGAGGACATATCTAGGAGCATGAGAGTGATCACGCCGTTGTGGATACCTTTCAACGACCAGGCCAGACAGAGGGAGGCAACAATTGTTTAGACGCGTTTGGACCTCGATCTGGGAATTCTGCCTTGTTATTTGATCTACATCGGTGGTTGCAGTGTGTCCTGCCAGGAATCCTATCATTCCCCCCTCTTTACAACCGACGCGTCATGCAGATGCTGTGGTGCTCTCATTTAAGCCATGTCACAGTCCAGGGAAATGGTCAGACGTATGCAAGGTAACACTCATGTATCCTCTGGTTATTTCAATATGAAAGTGAAGAAACTGAAAACTACGTTTACGCCACTCGTTCGTCACGGTAGTAGCTGCTGATACACATGAGCATCAACCAAGCACCAACTACATCTATATAGGTACGAAAACATCCTGCATGCTCTTGGTGCTTTGAAAACAACATTTCGCCCGTAGAAATAGTAACATTTTATTGTCCTTAAAAAATATTTGTTGATAACTTTATGACATTCTCAGAGGAATGCACAAAAAACGTGAATATCAACAATGCCGGAAAGTATGATCACCATGACGACGCCGCCAGTCGGACTGTCACACATGTCGTGACTGTTGTGACTGCATGACTCACCGTTGGCGACGTCGTCAATACTTGTTGTAGTCAGCCCTTGAGCAGGTAACATCTGCCAGTCTCTTCACACTGGCAATCAAGCGTCGAATTCCCACCTGGGGAAGCCTCTGCCATTTCTCATTGAGTGCCTGTGTCAATCAATGCAGATTTTGAACACGAGGATTCCACCTCGAACTTGGCGTCCAATATAGGTACACAGATGTTAAATATGCTTATTTCGGGGTTCCTTGTAGGTACACAGATGTTAAATAGGCTTATATCGGGGTTCCTTGTGGGCCATAGTAATGTCTCGATGGCGTTCTGCAAATGGGCGATGACAGATTTAGAACGGTGGGGTCTAGCGTTGTCATCCATGAATATCGGACGACTGGCAAGGGGTTAGTTATCAAAATATGGCACGATGGCGGTGTCCAGTAGTTCCTGTTGATAACCCTTACCATTCAGTTACCCGTGTACTGTAATGGGATCCACCTTGCGGCCATACGCGAGGCAACCCTACTGCAGCACCACCATAGAGTACAGGGTAATCTCCCGGTGACATACCCCTTGACGACGTCTACATACGCCACAACAGCCGTCGTTAATATGCAAAAGACTACGACTTTCATCAGACCAATGAACTCCACGTCATGTCCGCATGTTGCGTTTCTCGTCGGATTCTCGCTCTCCACTGCTGGCGCAGTTCTTAGGCATGGATCACAAGGTTGCGTCTTGCCAGGCGAATTTGGACTTGGTCATCACGGTCATTGGCCTCGCTCTGTATTCCAGTAGCAAAATCAGGTGCTATAGAATCAGGTGGAGGAACATACAAGGGGCACACCTGGTGGCGTTACGATCGAAGCACGGACTAGTATCGGTGGAAGGATTAATGAACTGTGGGCAGAACGGTAACGTAACAGTTACACAAGCTCCTTGACATGAAACAAGCTCCGGATGTAAAAAAGATAATTTTATTTCATTAAAAAGCGTTCATGATTTTCTTTGTAAATAACATGAATAGAAATATGTGACATTTTATCCTCAACCACCACAACCACTGGAATAAAACAATACTGTCAATTATGCCAGTACTAACACAGGCATCCAAACCTATTGTACTGTTTAAACATACAAATACATACTATTGTCAACTATCACCATACATTACCCACCTTTAATACCTGTCCAGGAGCGGATACAGCTTTTTGATAATTTGTGTGCGTGTGTGTGTGTGCGTGCGTGCGTGCGTGCGTGCGTGCGTGCGTGTGTGAGGACAGTTCATTTCACCCGTTTTCACGAGAGTATCGATGGTCATTCAATAAACTATCAGGACATGGGGTGGGTTGTTCTCTCTCTCTCTCTCTCTCTCGATCTCTAAAAGAAAGCAGCAACGCTTTTTGTAGCTTGACCTTGACCATGTGTCATCTGGGTCCTGTTCCTCAAAGCGATCTCATTACTTAGACTATTGAAAGTCATACGGAGACTTAAAACTGCCTTAACGCTCAGGCGGCTTTGTAAAACCGGGTTCAACATGACAGAGTATTCGTAACAGCATTCCATGCATACTCCGCGGCCGTTAGAGTATCAGTACTACGTTGCGCAGAAAGTCGACAGACACTGAAGAATATAAATTGAGTATAAACAGGCTGAGTACAGAGTGAGTGAGTGTGGTTTTTAGCAACATTAAAGCAATATCACGGTGGGGGACACCAGAAATATCACGGTGGGGGACACCAGCAATATCACGGCGGGGGACACGGTGGGGGACACCAGCAATATCACGGTGGGGCACACCAGCAATATCACGGTAGGGGACACCAGCAATATCACGGCGGGGGACACCAGAAATATCACGGTGGGGCACACCAGCAATATCACGGCGGGGGACACAAGCAATATCACGGTGGGGGACACCAGCAATATCACGGCAGGGGGACACCAGCAATATCACGGTGGGGGACACCAGAAATATCACGGCAGGGGACACCAGCAATATCACGGTGGGGCACACCAGCAATATCACGGTGGGGGACACCAGCAATATCACGGCAGGGGGACACCAGCAATATCACGGTGGGGCACACCAGCAATATCACGGTAGGGGACACCAGCAATATCACGGCGGGGGACACCAGAAATATCACGGCAGGGGACACCAGCAATATCACGGTGGGGACACCAGCAATATCACGGCGGGGACACCAGCAATATCACGGTGGGGACACCAGCAATATCACGGCAGGGGACACCAGCAATATCACGGTGGGGACACCAGCAATATCACGGTGGGGCACACCAGCAATATCACGGCGGGGGACACCAGAAATATCACGGTGGGGCACACCAGCAATATCACGGCGGGGGACACCAGCAATATCACGGTGGGGGACACCAGCAATATCACGGCAGGGGGACACCAGCAATATCACGGTGGGGGACACCAGCAATATCACGGCAGGGGGACACCAGCAATATCACGGTGGGGCACACCAGCAATATCACGGTGGGGGACACCAGCAATATCACGGTGGGGGACACCAGCAATATCACAGTAGGGGGACACCAGCAATATCACGGTGGGGGACACCAGCAATATCACGGTAGGGGGACACCAGCAATATCACGGTGGGGGACACCAGCAATATCACGGTGGGGGACACCAGGAATGGGCTTTGCACATTGTACTAATGTGGCGAATCGAACCCGGGCTGAGTATAAAGAGACTATCCATGGCACATACCGACATATCCCCAGGCTGAGTATAGAGAGACTATCCATGGCACATACCGACATATCCCCAGGCTGAGTATAGAGAGACTATCCATGGCACATACCGACATATCCCCAGGCTGAGTATAAAGAGACTATCCATGGCACATACCGACATATCCCCAGGTTGAGTATAAGGAGATTGACCAAAACTTATACCGACATATACCCCAGGTTGAGTATAGAGAGACTATCCATGGCACATACCGACATCAGTGATCACATTAGCTTGACCTGATGTTCCTCATGTAACCGTGGACGTTAACACATGAACCTAATTGTTGACAAAGCCATACAAGCAAACCGTTTGAATTTCAAACTTTTCTGTTTCAACTATGTCATTGTTATTGAAATCTACTCTCTATTATGCAATGATACCGTATATACTATACACCAACACCCTCCCCGCGTAAAACACGAGTGTTCTTATAATGTTCGTTATACCAATGTTCATCACCCCTTCTTGTCTATTTGAGATTCTTAAGTAATGAACAGGGTTTGTACTATTTACACAGACCATATTTGGAGCCCTGCACTACAAACCATTCGGCGAGTCCTATAGCAGTGGCATCATCCACAGATGCTGTATTGTTGTGAGTATTTCATAATTTGTTCATTTCAAATTATTGTGAAAGGTTTTCAAATTCAAATGAGTACATTTGAGTGAAAATAAGTGACGTCTTATTGCGGAAGCAAAATATTTCTTTGGCAAGAAGCAAAACGGTATGACTGATACATTGCTCCTCGCCCCTTCTATCAGTATACACAAGAAAACTGTTTCACGTGTAACCATCTGGAGAAACGAACCCTGGTTTTCCATGTGACGAATGCATGAACCATGTGGCCACCTGACACCCTTCTTACAGACACAACATGACTACGTACATCCCTGCTGTGACTTCTGGGTCCCGGGGTATGTTGCCTGTTCGTCCGTTGTGCCCGAGACAGGTCGATTATAAACATCAAAGTTGCGTAGATACAAAGTAAATACGGGAAGGAGTCCACGGTTCCCAAAGAGATCCTAATAATACGACTATCGTAAGTCTAAGTATGTTAAAGTATGGGAGTTACGATCACCTTAGCACTACGATGACTCGCATTTTCCAAAGTGGTGCTAATACTACGACAGTCGTTACTCTATGCTGAAGTAGGAGAGTTACAATTGCCTAAGCGTTACGATGGGTCGAAGTACGACCCTAATAGTAGGACTATCGTAAATCTGTGCTAAAGTATGGGAGTTACGATGGGTCGAAGTACGACCCTAATAGTAGGACTATCGTAAATCTGTGCTAAAGTATTGGAGTTACGATGGGTCGAAGTACGACCCTAAAAGTAGGACTATCGTAAATCTGTGCTAAAGTATGGGAGTTACGATGGGTCGAAGTACGACCCTAATAGTAGGACTATCGTAAATCTGTGCTGAAGTATTGGAGTTACGATGGGTCGAAGTACGACCCTAATAGTAGGACTATCTTAAATGTGTGCTAAAGTATGGGAGCTACGATCGTGCGTAGGTCGATGAGTCGCGTTTTCCATAGCAATTGTTGTCGAACCACAAGCAACGTTGACATCGTTAAAAGAATAGGCGCGCATTTGCCCTGAAGAATTTACAGCGCATTTCTTCATTCCGACTGGCTAATATTTTGAACTATTTTGAGTATCTATATTCCAGTCTTTTGTCCAATTACATTCTTCTACGTATGCATTTATCATGCCATCAAAAGTAAACTCTGAGCAAGAGTTACAGGTCGTAGAGAAGAACCGGTAATACTTTAAGTAAGGTTTGTCAGTCAGTATATGTTTTTACACCACTTCAGCGACATTCGAGACCACCACATTGTTCTAAGTATGCATTTATCATGCCATCAAAAGTAAACTCTGAGCAAGAGTTACAGGTCGTAGAGAAGAACCGGTAATACTTTAAGTAAGGTTTGTCAGTCAGTATATGTTTTTACACCACTTCAGCGACATTCGAGACCACCACGTGGGTCACCGATCGTATTTTTGGACGACTGACACTTTAACCCTTCCAGGGGCCCGATCCACAAAGCGTTCGTAGCGCTACAACATTCGTAAGCCTATGGTAAACTATAGAGTTACGACAGGTCGTAACGTTACGAACGCTTTGTGGATCGGGACCTAGTTTCCAAGCGACCATGTAACGCCACCTATTTGAAGTGTGAGTGGTGTGGTAGTCATGGCCTTACAGGTACTTGAAGAATAAGAAGCAATTTTCTCCTAATCCACCTTGGATTGAAGAGTTTTGCTGTCAAACTCAACGACGTCATCAGAGTCCTCGTCATCTGACATTCTGCTCACACGATGGTAGGAGGCAGACGCTTCATCTGTCGGCATCAACTTGAGGACGATCTCCAGTGCGATGTAGCCTACCACCCCCAACGACCACAGAAATATGGCGATGTAGAACTTGCTCCGGAGACACATGAGGCGGTCTGTGACGAGCACGAAGGTGAAACCAATACTGCCCAGAGTACCAAGGTTGGAAAACACAGCGGGCTGGTGATTGGGGAAGGCCATGGCGATCAAAGCTGGAAGTAAACATAGGGTGAGGTGAGGTGAGGTGAGGTGAGAAAGTGTTCATTTCGCTCTCATACAATCACGTGCATGCATCAGTACTTCCAGTTTTACAGAGGCCTGGTGACATAGCATGCCGTAGTTGTAACACTGATAACACACACCAACACATCATATTGACTGAGACAGCTAGTCCGTGTTTAATCCCCTAGATGCCCGGCGACAGGCAGGGCAACATCAAGTAACGTCGGCTTTTGGTTTGGCGGGATCGAACAACCGAAACTGACACTCCGAGCAGACACTGCAAAAACGTTTTGAACAAATTGCATCCGATTTCGTGAAGGATATAAACTAACATTTAAGAAATCAAAATCCCACACACGGACGGGCATAGGACGCTCCCAGCACTCTGTCTCACGAACTATGTGTTACCCGAGAAGATCCGGGTTACAACTAGTCTTCAATATACAGTATTCATGCTTGTCGTAAGAGGCGACTAACGGGATCGGGTGGTCAGGTTCGTCGACTTAGTTGACAGATGTCATCGTTTTCCAGTTGCGTAGGTTGATGCTCATGCTGTTGATCACTGGATTGTCTGGTCCAGACTCGATTAGTTACAGACCACAGTCATATAGCTAAAATATTGCTGAGTGCGGCTTCAATCAATCAGTCAATCAATCAATCAATCGAACTATGTCGGTGAAATATATGTTTGCCTTACACGTGATTTGACTCATCCAGATGCCGTCCCCGACCGCCCAGATCGATGGCATTACAAATAACAGGTAAAATTCTTCAGGAAGAGGTTTCCATAGCAACAGCGCCACTAGGGTGATGATGTCTAAAACCAGTGTAAAAGCTATGAGAGGTTGACGACCAGTGCGTTTGGCGACATGTCCGAAGGTTACGGCGGACAGTGCCGATACTATACCGAATGTCGTCATGACGTAGCCCACCATCTTCACTCCAACAGAGCAGCTGACGAAGGCCTGGAAATAAAGTCATGATGAGAGTTACAGGAGAAAATGCCCGTGAGGACTACTTTGGTATAGTAGGGGCGGTGGGGTAGCCTAGTGGTTAAAGCGTTGGCTCGTCACGCCGAAGACCCGGGTTCGAATCACCACATGGGTACAATGTGTGAAGCTCATTTCTGGTGTCCCCCGCCGTGATGTTGCTGGAATATTGCTAAAAGCGGCGTAAAACCAAAACTCAGTCAGACTTTGGTATAGCGGCGCCTAAATGACGGGAACACTGATCTGTAGTTATCTTAAATATATGTCCATTCGTGACTGAATTCATTTTGTTCTAGGCAGCAATACTGCAGCTATTCCTGACGGCAAAACAGTGCAAACGATCCACGCCAGATGGACACAATGCGATATCGCCAATACCTTTCACGGTCGACTCGTTATTCCGGAATAAGCTGCCTTGAAGTTTACGGAAAATGACGAGTGGTGACGAATGCGTCAGTACACAGAGTCTATTTAGGGGGGTAATCAGGACTCGGGTACCCCGCGGCCCTTCGGGTACCCCGAGTCCTAATTACCCCCCAAAATAGACTCTGCGTACAAATACATTTGTGTTTGGTTCGCAGATTTTAAATTATATATGCTTGTCCTCAGAGTTTCTATATGATTCCAGTAATTAACCCCAGTTTTGATCCTACATGTAGGCTACAGGTTGTCTGTGATTTCCATTCTATGATCTACATCAATTCTGGCATGTGCAGTCCAGACACTTGTGTTAAGACTAGCAAATGAGACTCGGAGAAAAATATTAGGTGGTTTTTTGTGAGTGAATGAGTTTAGCATAAAGCGCTTTTAGCAATATTCCAGCAATATCACTACGGGGGACACCAGAAATGGGCTTGACACAGTGTACCCATGTGGGAAATCGAACCCGGGTCTTCGGCGTGACGAGCGAACGCTTTGACCACAATGCTACGCCGCCGCCCTTCGCCGTTCATAGTTACGTCACTTGGCCATATAAGGATCCTACCAGTAGGTTCGTCCCAATTATGAACAATGATCTGTGAGTGGTAGTGTCCAAGAAATGACCTACCTCGAGGTTCTATGAACCATCTTATGGCGGTCGTCGTCATGTGACTGAATCAATGTTAAAACGACGTTTTAAATTACTCTCTGACTCGCTCTAAGGAGTGGCGAATCCGTTCTCTCAATCGGTATTTCGAACCTACCTTAGTGAAATTAGTGAGCAGAATGGACGTGTTCATAGCCTGAGATAAGGACAGCGGCATCAACAGGAACAACACCTTCTTCTTCAGGACCGTGCAGCACGCCAACGACGTCCTTATAAGGCTCGTCTGGTCACTCCCTTCCAGTTTCAGTGGTCTAAGAAATAACACGGTGGCCCCAAGTCCCAGTAACTGGCAGGCCAGATAGACCCCAAACAACGTGTTGACCACAGCAGGTTCCGGTTGGACAATTATTGTCGTCTTGTTCTCGATCCCGGGACAATCGTCAGCGCCGCAGATCTTTGTCTGATTCAGATCTGATTGGTCAGTTGAACTTTGATGAAGAATTACAGACGACAAAACGTTCCCTGTCACTTGGGCTAAGCAGAAGCAGGCATAGAAGATTCCATTGTGTTTACTGAGTGAGCCATGAAGGTCCACCTTTTTTGCTTTACTATGCCAGGTCCCCATGGCGTTTATGTACAAATGACGAGAATTCCACATGGGCGATACTGTCAGACCTAACAGAATAGATGACGGTATCAAGGTCCACCATGTTGTATGGAAGTAACTGAGACAATATAGACAGTGGCTGACGAAGGCCAGAATAAACGTCGGTTTTAATCCTACACACTGAATGTATAATGGGCTTATCGCTGAGGTCAAGATACAACTGGAGTATATACAAGCAAGGGAGGCAACTCCTAGTCCCTCAGCCTGGAGGATGCTGGTTGTGAGGTTCTGTAATCCCTGAAAGGCCGTGTAGATGGTGAAGAAGGAGAAGGCCAAGACGATGGTGTTTTTCATAGGCTTCATTGGGATGCTGAGGCCGTCGTCGAGGTTCACTTTGAGGGCATCGTCCGCCATGTGTAGAGGACGCTGTCGTCAAATAGCTGAAGCTGCCGACCACCATCAAACACAAGGTTGAGAAAGGAACGGATGAGAGAGTTACGATACGTTTCACCAGGTCTGAAATTGATAATACTTCATGTAAACTGTATGTTAATATTGATCCATGTCTTGATTACCTGTTTCCAGGCAATACCTGACGCAACAGCGCCACATCCTGCAATTAGTCACAAAATGTTGTTACCGGGGAAACGGTTCAGGTCAGTGCCAAAGGTCATTTTCACTGTCTACCAGTTCCAAAAAGGTTGGATTTGGTTTTAACTTTGTCATAGCGCCAGTGAGCACCTGTCGATGGACACCATGCGCTTTAGAATTAATATCATGATTATCATTAACTAAGCTAACAGTAAATGATTAATTACACAAAGTCTCGGTGTCCCAGAAGGCACTGACTGGTATGTCCTGTACAAGGCCGACAAGGGGAGCCAGGTAATGGATCACAGACTCCCTTTAAGAGACAAATATCATCTTTAGGCTCGATAAATCGACTATTACTCCGTCAGCACAGACACATCCCATCTCCACACCAAATAGACTTATTACGAAGTACACGCATTGACTTAAGATCGCCAGCCGATCATGTAGTTGAGATCCCCTTTCACAAGAAAACAGCATGGAATACGCTATAAAGTGGCATTAGGCCTGGGGAACTGTCAGTTCTTGCAACTTAACTACGCGCTTAAAATCAAACCTCCAGACGTCGTAAATGATCTAATAGAGAACCTTTGTCGCACGATAAGAACGCAGAGGTCAAAGATCAAAGTTCAGCAACCTTTGTTAGGGAGAGTAGTGGTGTGGGTGACCCTATTCTGTTCGGCAACCTTGGTTAGGGAGGGTAGTGGTGTGGGTGACCCTATTCGGTTCAGCAACCTTTGTTAGGGAGAGTAGTGGTGTGGGTGACCCTATTCTGTTCAGCAACCTTTGTTAGGGAGAGTAGTGGTGTGGGTGACCCTATTCTGTTCAGCAACCTTGGTTAGGGAGAGTAGTGGTGTAGGTGACCCTATTCTGTTCGGCAACCTTGGTTAGGGAGGGTAGTGGTGTGGGTGACCCTATTCGGTTCAGCAACCTTTGTTAGGGAGAGTAGTGGTGTGGGTGACCCTATTCTGTTCAGCAACCTTTGTTAGGGAGAGTAGTGGTGTGGGTGACCCTATTCTGTTCAGCAACCTTGGTTAGGGAGAGTAGTGGTGTGGGTGACCCTATTCTGTTCGGCAACCTTGGTTAGGGAGGGTAGTGGTGTGGGTGACCCTATTCTGTTCAGCAACCTTGGTTAGGGAGAGTAGTGGTGTGGGTGACCCTATTCTGTTCAGCAACCTTTGTTAGGGAGAGTAGTTGTGTGGGTGACCCTAATCCGTTCAGCAACCTTGGTTAGGGAGAGTAGTTGTGTGGGTGACCCTATTCGGTTCAGCAACCTTGGTTAGGGAGAGTAGTGGTGTGGGTGACCCTATTCGGTTCAGCAACCTTTGTTAGAGAGTAGTGGTGTGGGTGACCCTATTCTGTTCGGCAACCTTGGTTAGGGAGGGTAGTGGTGTGGGTGACCCTATTCGGTTCAGCAACCTATGTTAGGGAGAGTAGTGGTGTGGGTGACCCTATTCTGTTCAGCAACCTTTGTTAGGGAGAGTAGTGGTGTGGGTGACCCTATTCTGTTCAGCAACCTTGGTTAGGGAGAGTAGTGGTGTGGGTGACCCTATTCTGTTCAGCAACCTTTGTTAGGGAGAGTAGTGGTGTGGGTGACCCTATTCGGTTCAGCAACCTTGGTTAGGGAGAGTAGTGGTGTGGGTGACCCTATTCGGTTCAGCAACCTTTGTTAGGGAGAGAAGTGGTGTGGGTGACCCTATTCTGTTCAGCAACCTTTGTTAGGGAGGGTAGTGGTGTGGCTGACCCTATTCGGTTCAGCAACCTTTGTTAGGGAGAGTAGTGGTGTGGGTGACCCTATTCTGTTCAGCAACCTTTGTTAGGGAGAGTAGTGGTGTGGCTGACCCTATTCGGTTCAGCAACCTTTGTTAGGGAGAGTAGTGGTGTGGGTGACCCTATTCTGTTCAGCAACCTTGGTTAGGGAGAGTAGTGATGTGGGTGACCCTATTCGGTTCAGCAACCTTTGTTAGGGAGAGTAGTGGTGTGGGTGACCCTATTCTGTTCAGCAACCTTTGTTAGGGAGAGTACTGGTGTGGGTGACCCTATTCGGTTCAGCAACCTTGGTTAGGGAGAGTAGTGGTGTGGGTGACCCTATTCTGTTCAGCAACCTTGGTTAGGGAGAGTAGTGGTGTGGGTGACCCTATTCTGTTCAGCAACCTTGGTTAGGGAGAGTAGTGGTGTGGCTGACCCTATTCTGTTCAGCTACCTTTGTTAGGGAGAGCAGTTGTGTGGGTGACCCAAATCGGTTCAGCAACCTTGGTTAGGGAGAGTAGTGGTGTGGGTGACCCTATTCTGTTCAGCAACCTTGGTTAGGGAGAGTAGTGGTGTGCGTGACCCTATTCTGTTCAGCAACCTTGGTTAGGGAGAGTAGTTGTGTGGGTGACCATAATCTGTTCAGCAACCTTGGTTAGGGAGAGCAGTTGTGTGGGTGACCCTATTCTGTTCAGCAACCTTGGTTAGGGAGAGTAGTGGTGTGGGTGACCCTATTCTGTTCAGCAACCTTTGTTAGGGAGAGTAGTTGTGTGGGTGACCCTAATCTGTTCAGCAACCTTGGTTAGGGAGAGTAGTTGTGTGGGTGACCCTATTCGGTTCAGCAACCTTGGTTAGGGAGAGTAGTGGTGTGTGGTGACCCTATTCGGTTCAGCAACCTATAGTCAGCAAGTTAGAGGAGAGGTGGTGTGGGTGACCCTATTCTGTTCGGCAACCTTGGTTAGGGAGGGTAGTAGTGGTGTGGGTGACCCTATTCTGTTCAGCAACCTTTGTTAGGGAGAGAGTAGTGGTGTGGGTGACCCTATTCTGTTCAGCAACCTTTGTTAGGGAGAGTAGTGGTGTGGGTGACCCTATTCTGTTCAGCAACCTTTGTTAGGGGGAGAGTAGTGGTGTGGGTGACCCTATTCTGTTCAGCAACCTTTGTTAGGAGAGAGTAGTGGTGTGGGTGACCCTATTCTGTTCAGCAACCTTGTTAGGAGAGTAGTGGTGTGGGTGACCCTATTCTGTTCAGCAACCTTGGTTAGGGAGAGTAGTGGTGACCCTATTCTGTTCAACAACCTTGGTTAGGGAACCTTTGTTAGGGAGAGTAGTGGTGTGGGTGACCCTATTCTGTTCAGCAACCTTGGTTAGTGGTGTGGGGAGAGTAGTGGTGGGTGACCCTATTCTGTTCAGCAACCTTTGTTAGGGAGAGTAGTGGTGTGGGTGACCCTATTCTGTTCAGCAACCTTGGTTAGGGAGAGTAGTGGTGTGGGTGACCCTATTCGGTTCAGCTACCTTTGTTAGGGAGAGTAGTGGTGTGGGTGACCCTATTCTGTTCAGCAACCTTTGTTAGGGAGAGTAGTGGTGTGGGTGACCCTATTCGGTTCAGCTACCTTTGTTAGGGAGAGTAGTGGTGTGGGTGACCCTATTCTGTTCAGCAACCTTTGTTAGGGAGAGTAGTGGTGTGGGTGACCCTATTCGGTTCAGCAACCTTTGTTAGGGAGAGTAGTGGTGTGGGTGACCCTATTCTGTTCAGCAACCTTGGTTAGGGAGAGTAGTGGTGTGGGTGACCCTATTCTGTTCAGCAACCTTTGTTAGGGAGAGTAGTGGTGTGGGTGACCCTATTCGGTTCAGCAACCTTGGTTAGGGAGAGTAGTGGTGTGGGTGACCCTATTCGGCTGTCCCTGGCAGTTTCCAGGGCTTCTGTCCTGCCCAACACGACGATACATGTCACACGTTATATCTCAACGTAAAAGCTGCTTTGTAAGGAGACTAAATGTTTCTTCAGATACAACTGCACATCAAGATATGTGTTTAATTAAAACTATTACCTTAAATGAAAAACAATACCTTGCCACATTTATTTTTAAAGAGAATTTCTGTATTTTTTCTTCATCCTGAAACAAAATTATGCTTTTCATGTATTTGACAAGTTCTTTCTTTCGATAAAAATCAGAGCGTTTTAAATAACTGAAGTGCAGGAAGAACAGAAAAAATTCAACTTTCAAATAAAGGATACCACTAACAAGGGCTTGGCACCATCAGACACCGTTATATGCATGAACACAAATGACAGCTGACTACGATTTACGCCGTTTTAAGCAACATTCCAACAACATTTAAGCGGATGACAACAAAAATAAGCTTCACCAATTGCATCCACTAGGGTAAACCGCCTCCGTGGTGTAGTGGTTAGAGCATCCGCCCGGAGAGCGGAAGGTCGCGGGTTCGATCCCCGACCGCGTCATACCAAAAGACGTTAAAATATGGTACTTGTTGGTCCCTGTCTGGCGCTCGGCATTAATGGGTACAACAAGGACTGGTCGTCTCGGAGTCAGTATAATGTGTCTGAGTGGGGTATTCATGCTTCACTGCGGCATGGTATCTCAGTGGGCTAGCACTATAAAACCAGCTTCAGTCTGGGCTAGTACAAGCAGCCGCACATACACATACACACGCGTGCACGTCGTCATATGAGCGAAATATTCTCAAGCACGACGTTAAACCCAAGTTCACCTCACCTCACCTCACTTCCCAGAACTTCCAAGCTTAATGACGGCGGTTTGCCTATTTCAAATATTCGACATACAAACCCATTTTTAGAAAAATAATCATGAGCACAAATCCATCATTTCAGTTGGCACTAAACTCCCCCGGGGAAAATCATTATACCTTGGATCCTCTGCTGAGAGGGGAATATTCCCGTCACTGTTTTTATTGCTGCATCCACTGCCTTTGTATCATATTACCTCCCCTGAATCTGCGCTGCCACTCTATTGCCTTTGTAGTGATTTGTATTAAAGTTTTAAAATACAATTGTTAATTACATCCAGTTAACTAGGGTATTAGTTTCAACTTAGGAATCAAGTTTAGAGAAAGGACATGTTCTCTGATGATATATACATACATATTCAGAATGTTATAGCTTAGATGGCAGAAATGAAATATTCTGCCCCGTAAAGTTTGGAGATGGAACTGTGTCACTGAAAATATATGCACACATGTAAAATGTTGTAGTTCATTTGGCGGAAATATTTTGCCCCTTAAAGTCTGGAGAAAGGAACTGTTTCATTGAAAATATATACACACGTATGTAAAATGTTGTAGCACGTTTGGCGGAAATATCCTACCCCTGGAAATTTCGAGAAGGAACTGATTCACTGATAATATATGCACATCTACGTAAAATGTTGTTGCACTGTTGGATGAAATATTCTGCCCCGGAAAGTTTTGGGAAAAAAAATGTTCTCTGATAAACAGAATATACTGTTGTAGCTTGGATTTGGGAAACTGTTCTGGCATGGCAGGAAATGGGCTATGTGGGGATAAAGTGTTTCAATGATAAACATATCCACATGTATAGAAAGTTGTAGGTCACTTTAATCAATCACATCGATGTATCAAATGTTTTAAAACACCGTCTGGTTATGAACCAGACCATACGTAAGTCTATAACATATTTCACATTACATGGCTTGCCAGGTGCGTCTCCAGTTCCACAACCGCCATCTTCCACGACGATAACAGCTATAGAATAATTGTACCAAGGGCAAGTTTACATTGAAGCTAAACCAACTGTTAGTAGTCCAGTCGTCACCAGGTTAGTTAACCCCGTACTGTTTGGCCAAAGTTAAAACCAAGCAGCAAAACACACTGTTTTAAAAATACATTTTCCAAGAGACCCGCTCCTGAGTAGTGGATGTAGAGGACTTTTCGGGTCTTAACATTAACACAAACATGCGTACGTCAACCAGCCCCTAAAAGCCACATACGAAGACGTTTTAATCAAACACAAGTCCACAGCCTCACCATTGCCATTTCCTTAGAAACTGTATTACCATGGAACTTCGTCTGGTTTCTAACAGTACTGTGCAATGGCTTCGGGTAGTTACTTTTCACATCCTTACTCCATTTCACGTTTATCAGTGCAAAGATCTGGTCGTCTTCAAGAACCGACAGTTTTTCCCGTTTAATTGATTTCTTCATATTCATGGACAGTGTTCTTTTCAAATGCAACTTTTAGCTCCACCGTAATGTAACAGATCGATCCCAGAACCCACAGCGCGATACTAGTGTACAGCTTCGTGCTGAGACACACGTACTGGTCGTACGCCAGGGTAATGGCGAAAGCCACAGACCCGAACGTTGAAAATATGGCGAAGGCAACCTCCCTCTTGTGGGCAAAAAATATACCAACCAGGGCTGAAACAGAAATATGGAACTTTGATGGGGGTTAAACTTTGGTAGCATTGCGTCATATCTAAATAATATATAATTCCTGTCGACATCAAATTCCACCATTCTATTTTTAGTCGTCAGCCATGTTGGCAGTTTCTATTGTTCCCTGGCTGACAATACAGTTAGGTGACAGATATGACAGTTTGGATATAATTTCTATCAAAAGAATTAAAAACTATTGTACACTTACATCCACTCTGAGTCTGCCATATGCCGTCACTGGCCGCACACACCAGGGTGAAAAGAAAGTTTATATACAGCTTGTCGGGACTCGGTTTCCATAGCAACATGAAGAGCAAAGCCCCAAGTTCCAGTAAATACGAAGCAGCAAAGAGTGGGTACCGGCTGATGTACTTTGCCAGCTTTCCCACGACGTATGACACAAGAGACGTGGCGCCTCCGTAACACGCCATCACGTAACCAACCATCTTGATTCCCACAGTGCAGCTCACGTAGGCCTAGAAAGAAGGTCAAGGTCATTGAAATACTAAATTGGGTTAAACTTAACTGTGCTCGTTATAATACTTGATTGACGAAACAAAGAATAAAAACTGGTACCAGTATTTTAATATCAATTTAATGCTTACGTGTTTTTGTTGAGGATGAGGTTGTTAAGTATGTCACGTTATTGTTCTCGCAGTTGCCAGAGCCAGGACTTCTGGGGTCATTATGCGTCATAAGGACGTAATACTAACGTCACAATACGTCTCTTGATGTAATCCTATTCACTGGAACCTCCATGGGCCGATTTCTCGAAACAAACTGAAGTTTTTACTCAAATTTCAAGCTGAGTTTGACAATTTTAAACAGCTAAGTTTCTAACTCAGTCGCATTTCTAAAACCAAAAAGACAAAATAATTTATGTAACATATCTACCTAACTCAAATTGTGTACTAAGTTTGAGTTTTATATCCATTTCAGTTTATTCTGGGAAATGTATTTTCCTGCTTTGGCTCAAATTTGAGTTAAAACTAACTGAAGTCAAAACTCAGACTTAAGTTTTTTTCGGGAACTCGGGGCCTGGTTCCAGAAGCAGAATCAACAGATTTAGTAAATATTTTTCCACTACGTTAGAACTGTATTCCATAACTGAATGGAAAGATATAAGTATGTTAGATAATAAAAAATGACACAAAGTGGAATGTCGTCAAATATGTACAGTACCTAGCTCAAGACACTTTTTTGGAAAATACTGACGACTTAAAAAATCATCTAAAAATACTGGCAAAGATAATGGCTCACGATTTACAAAAACAGAATTGTATGCTGGACTTGTGGGAAGTCCTGAGAGAATATGTTGTGAAAAATATAGAAAATATAATTGTTGTGTTCCCCTTTGGGTCCCTGAGACATTCTCACCTTGGTGAAACTGGTAAGCAGGATGGCGACAACCATCGACTTGGCGAAGTAGAAGGGCAGAAGCAGCACCAGATTGACATCCTTCAGCGACGTAAACCACTCCAGGACCTTGGACGCCGGCGTGGCGTCTGTAAGACTGAGCCTCGTCACTGGAGTCAGGCAACACATGGTCAGGAGTAGACCCAGAAAGGCACACGTGAAATACACTCCCATCAGTATGTTCACAAGAGATTCTGATGGACGAGGGATCTTGGTCGTGCTGCTAGCTATTCCAGGGCAGTCGTCTGCTCCACATATTCTCGTCACGTTGGCGGGAAAATCTTCCTTCGCATCGCGAAAAAGTACAAGCGAAGCAATGAGGCTTCCGGTGATTTGAGCTGCTTGAAAAAGAAGACCAAATATACCGTACAGCTTGCTCATAGCTTCGTGGTTTCCTACGTTATTATTTCGGCTGTAAATATCCGCCATTGTTGTGATATACACGCCTTGAGACGTCCACATTGGAGCCACAAAGAAGCCCAGCAGCAACGAGGCCGGGATCAACGTTCCCCACGTCGGGTAGAAGTTAGCGGCAGTGTATATACAGTGGGAAGCCCATCCTAAAACGAGAGCACGTTTAGTGCCTATTTTATGTATAATCATCGGCGACAGTATCCCAGCCAGAATGATCATTCCGTATACACATGCCAACGACGTGACTCCGAGATCTGCAGCTTGGTTCAGGCTGCTCTGAAGGTTCTGAATGGCTTGGAAGGCCGTGTAACATAGCAGAAACGAAGTGGAGAGGACAATAGTATTTTTGATAGGGTTGATTGGAGGTACAGCAGTTATATAATCGTCTTCATCTAAAGAATCCTCCATTGTGAGACTTTCAGATGTCGGATCGAAAGGACTAGGGAATTGTTAGCTTCTAAAATGTAGTTAAATCTTGTATTGTTGTCATGTCTAAAGCTGTCTGCCCATCTGTGTCTGTCCTGTCAGTCTGCAACAGAAAGAGACTTGTTGAAGGTGCCGATACGCCATTTTCACAACACGCCGAAATAAATACCATCATGCTTACAATATTAAACAGACTTTCCGAGATGCAGATTTTTATTAAGTATTCTGTTGTTGTAAACAAATGTCTGTCATAAATAGTTGTCGTAACCAGGATACATATCGGCGCCCACCTTCAGCAAACCTCTTACATAACCACGTCCAAGAGTTTGATATTATGGTTTCTTTAAAATCGTCTTCAATTCATTAGTAAATGAGGAGTTCAATTTTAGCATTTGGAGCTCGAAACAGCTTTATGTTTCCTTCCTAAAATAAATCATCAGCTCATTGTCAATATCATAAATAATGCATATTCCTGTCCCTAATTTATTATATATAGCACAAGAGGGCCATGATATCTTATGATATGACGTCATTCTTAATATGCAATTCTTAAAATGTAATAGATTCGACCTTGTGTACATTTGCAACCGACTTGCTCGTGTTCGAGTTTGATGTACAGGGCTAAATATTGATACCGGAAGACATCTTACAATTGCAAAGGGTGTGTACATATCGTAGCTTAAAGGTCACATGCAACGTAAAACACAACTTTGCAGATTCTGATACCTTTCGGTATGGACTTACCGAAAAAAAGCGTCAAAAATGCAAATTCAACTTATAAAGTTGAAAAATAACGCGATGAAAAAAAACGCGCGAAATCGGAGTTCAAACGTTTCACTCATTTTCCCCAGACTTTTCTGGGGAAAACGGGTTTCAACAGCTGGGCTGCGCTCATAGCATGTGCGCAGTGAAATAGGTTCGCGCAACTTGGAAGCTGGTTGTCCGGTGAATACTCGGTGAAGGCTTTGGTGTGAGCTATTTTTCTAATGTTTTGTTGATATCTCACAGGCGCGAGCTTTTTATATGTTATGACAGTAAATTAACTGTTTATATAATTTCACCACACGTTCTTCTTACCGAGTCACTTTCTCAGTTCGATACTTAAAAGCAACGTCATTATTTAGCGTTGACAGAATTTCTAACTGTGATATAGATATGTCGTTGTCACAGACAAAACTCAATGTCTTGTTTTATTGACATCTGTGTGTCTGCCTGCCTGTCTGCTAATGAAAATATTCAATACACATCTGCTATCACTGACCACATGTAATTTGAACTTAACACCAATCAGACTATACACCATAAACAAAATGCATTGATTTATGGCCCGAGTTTGGTCTCTGTCATATTATGTAATTACACAGACAGGCAGGTGTGATAGTTGAACAAATGACATGTTATGATGTCTGTTGATTGCAAAATGTTATACGCAAAAAATGAGCATGTATTTACAAAACCCAACATCTCTACATATACACACACAATAAGCCGTGAGGGCATATGCAAATGAACCAGCCGTTACACTTGAGTGCACACCCACCCGCTCTGACTGGGTTCGGTATCCCGGCTGCTTCGTTTCTTGGTAAGTAAACCGAAGTACACAATATTGTACTTTTGATTTGCGATTGTACGCTTATCATTTTGTTTATATGTTTTTTCATAACCAGCAATGTATATTATATGTCACGAATAAGTGATAATTGTGTTTTAATTATGTTTGATTTTTTGGTTGCATGTGACCTTTAAACAATATTGAAGATCTGTACCATTTCACCCTTATATGCCCATCATTAAACAACATTCGATAGCAATACATGTACATACCAAATAAATATTTTGATTCGGTCTTCAGTACAAGTATTTATTCGCTTTATACCAACCACAAACTATCAAGGTTTAACATCTGTTAGGTTATATTTCAAATATGCCTTCAAGAGCAGCAAGTATTTTAAATGCAATGTGAATCTTTTGTTAAAGTGATCCTATACTGTGCCATCTGCACTTCATGTAAAATTGGCCTATGGCCTTTCGCTCAATAAACATTTTAATTTGAATATAATCGAAGCCTAAGACATACTACGATTCACTACGGTAACTATAGAAACCGTGCAGGAATGAAAAACCAGAGTAGACAATAATCTGATTCTGTACATGCTGACAGAAATAACTTGTTCTCGGTTTCGAAAAAGAAACTTGTTCATTGACACGATTGAGCACGCGTTCTCGAACATGTGGAATTCATCAAGTCCGCTACGTGTTGCATATTGACTTACTAGTAAGTGTTGTGTGTTTGTTGATAAATGCAATATTTTAGCTATATGGCGGGCGTACTGATTAAACGACACACTGCATGCTATATTTGAAATTGTTCAATTAACTATTTACATATTATATATATACTTTTATAATTGCATAGAGGCCTGCATTTGCATTGATTTTGTTATGAAACGTATTGTATATTGACTGTCTATCGACTGTGCATCAATACCTGTTTACAAAGTCAGTTGTGTGCAGCTGCATTTAACGTTAGTGTCCATATTCTATTTTGCACACGTTTCTTAGCACACTATACCAGGTCAGTCTGATCTGTACTCAGGCGTGGTCGGTTTCTTAAACACCAACATAGTGTTGTCGCTCAATACAAACACTGGCAGTGTAAACAGTAGAACCAGTTTAGTCAAATCGTCACGGATGGAGTCAGTACATGGTTACATTCGTAATAAGTGACATTACACAGGCACATCTATAAATGGAGATTCGCACCACCTTCTCTGACCGCTGCCTGTTGGCTCAAGGCGCTATAGTTACTGCGCAAACTATCAGCAGAACCAGTTTAGTCAAAACAAGACGGATGGAGTCAGTACTGTCCTCTGTTTATAAATCTTTGAGCAATATGTAAAACTATCGTAATAACAGTGATATGGGCATTAGCGCGTGTCCAATGTTTCGGGGGTGGAGATGTCGCTACTCGGGGTAGTAGATGTTTTGCCTTTGGAAGTGGTCCCTCTAAAAACTCAAAGAATAAATTATGTTTTACTTATGGGGACAAGCCTATTGAAATTGTTGACAGTTACTCTTATCTTGGTATCAAGCTCCATCGAAATGGAAGGTTTGTAACAGCAATTAAAAGTTTAGTGGAAAATGCAACTAAAGCAATGTTTTCGCTGTTGAAAAAAGCTCGTAATTTGAATCTGCCTTTAGATTGTTTGATATCAGCTTTCAATACTATGATAGTCCCTATATTAATGTATGATTCAGAAATATGGGGTTTTGAATGTCTATCGACAATAGAGAAAACTCATCTAAAATTTCTAAAATATGCATGTGGTCTTCGAAACTCAACTCCCAATGTCATGCTTTATGGGGAATTAGGAAGATATCCGCTATATGTTAAGATATATAAAAGAATAATATCATTCTTGCATAAACTGGCTACAAACACCCTTAAATCGAAATTATCGACCCTTTTATTCAATTACATTATATCTTCTTCTCCAAACACTTTGCCTAAATTGAAATGGTTTAAATTATTCAAAGAGATCTTAGATAATTGTGGACTCTCAGAAATGTATGATTACCCGTTCCTATGTTCATCAGAATTTTGGGTTTCAAAAGTAGAAACAATACTCAAACACCAATATTTACAAAATGGCGATGTGAACTAGCGTCTAGTTCGAAAGAAAAAATTTACCAAAATGTTAAAGACAATCCATGCTTTGAAAACTACCTCTTCCTTCCCAAATCTATACATAGTCCAATTCTTAGATTTAAGTTATCAAATCACAATTTACTAATAGAAACAGGACGCTGGTACAACACTCTTAGAGAAAATAGACTCTGTAAACTTTGCGATTCTCCGTCTGTTGGGGACGAATTCCATTACCTTTATAACTGTGAAGCTCTTCTCCAACAGCGGATGATGTACATCCCAAATTATTTCTATGAATGGCCTAATCCGTTTAAACTTAAACGGCTATTTTCAATAAAGAAAACAAAACATTTAAAAAAACCTTGCTAATTTTCTAAATGCCTTGTTAAGTGCACTGAAATTGTAAACGAATTGTGATAATAATAATTTATGTAACTATTCTAGTATCCGCCATTTTGATTGTATATTTATGTTTAACTGTATATCATTATATTCTCATGTACCACCTAGGCAATTTATTGCTTTGGGGGAAGAGAGAAAGAAAGAAAGGGTTTGAATGATGATTTTTAAGGGTGGGTGGGTGGGAGGGGGTTTCCACCCATTTTGTTCCAGGGAGCTGAGGGGGTCAGCAATTTTGTACTTAAAAATATGTTTCAAACTATGCTTAGAAATTATGGGGGTGTCATTGATTTTGTACATGCCATGCAGGGGGCACTTATTTTGTACATACATTTTTTATTTTTTTGGGGGGGAATAATCACATATTCACATTGTACATGCTTCTCCATTAAAATCATCATCACCCACCCTAGCCATAAATTATGAACGGTCCCTAACATGCACGTGGTGGTCAACATCTGTGTTTGGAAACAATAACACTTGAGTAATTTTACGGGAGTTACAGATACAGGCGAAGTTAAACTAAACGTAGACCGACACGACCAACAATAGGAAACAGACATGCACGTTAGCACATATCAAGAAGACAGTTGTTCGCGAGAGCATAAACCTACACATGGTCTTCTGACCCGTGAACATCCGGGTTACAATTGGTCTCCACCAACAACCCATGCTTATCGTAAGAGGCGATAAATAGGATCGGGGGTCATCGCATCCCCATATGCATTGTTATAGATCGAGGCTCATGATGTTGATCACTTGATTGTCTGGTTATTTACAGGCCGCCGCAGGAAACACGCACCTCAACTTATACCGCGACAGCAAATATACAGTTATAGAATAATTATTATTTGTTACATCAGTCTCCAATGTCTCAATAATTGTCAATAAACCGACCAGGTGTTGTGTGAGGGCGCTACACTTACGACGGGGTTGATCGTACAATCACTGCTGTTTGTCAATACTGGAGAATGTCCAGGCCCACAAACACACATGGTATATCGTCAGTCAATCAACAACAATATTTGGTGACGGGGTATACGGGTGTGGGTCTGCCTCTCACAACAACACTATAACAAGTGAGAGATAACGCTCCCTGAGGCTTAGCTACCATTATAAGAAAAACCCGGCTTGCACATGATTTTAGCTAAAAAGGTTGGACAAGCCCTCAATACAATCTGTATAAAGCTTTTCAATCTATCGGGCTTACACGAAAACATTGGCTTGCTAGCCTTTCTTATTGTGCTACTCCCCGCGACATCACATGTACTTTCACATACTTTCCAACCCGGAAATACGGCGATGTTAATCATATAAAACCGATGAATCACACCAACTATATAGTTAGTAATGCACGTTTAGTTTTGCTGTGAACATTCCGATGGGGTCGTAATAATAACGCGTAAATGTGTCACCGGTGTAATGGAGTAATTTGAGACTGCAGTTGTTCTTAGTCATTCACGAATGCACCACCTTACTAGTGTACAACAAGACCGCCTCCGTGGTGTAGTGGTTGAGCGTCCGCCCGGAGAGCGGAAGATCGCGGGTTCGATCCCCGGCCGCGACATACCAAAAGACGTTAAAATATGGTACTTGTTGGTCCCTGCCTGGCGCTCGGCATTAATGGGTACAACAAGGACTGGTCGTCTCGGAGTCAGTATAATGTGTCTGAGTGGGGTGTTCATGCTTCACTGCGGCATGGTATCACAGTGGGCGAGCACTATAAAACCAGCTTCAGTCTGGGCTAGTACAAGCAGCCGCACATACACATACACACGCATGCACGTCGTCATATGAGCGAAATATTCTCAAGCACCTAATTTCACCTCACCTCACCTAGTGTACAGCATAGCACTGGTCATACTGATCGGAATACTAACGAGTCATCGGCATTAAACACAAGACAGAGGAGAGTGCGTGGAAGCTATCCTAAACATAACGTACTTGATCCAGGCTGTTGTATTCGGCACATCCATGCCGAGCCATTACGTCCGCGAAGTCGGCTGATACATGTCGACTGTCTCTCCGTATTTACACAATACACATCTATACACACTGACTGGTGTTGGGTACAACGGTCAGCCAAGGTTTAGATGAGAAGGCTGGCCGGTACGTTTTGTAGTTATTTAAAACTGTCGGTCTCTTTGAACCCAATAACCGATCATCGCAAACTTGTCAAATAAGTCCGGCCTCTCAAATTTCCGCATTTTACTTAATTACAGTCCGGTTTCGACTTGAAAAACGGACGCCACGTCATGGCACAGCTGTGCACAACGTCGGTGACTTAAAACACGAAATCCACTGAAATTTAGTCATCTGTGAGCTCGCCGAACACAAACACAGCTGGTTAATGGACGTAAATATTTAACAACACTCATTGACCATAGTATATATGTATATATGTAAGTTGTCAGCTCGTAAGCCTACTGACGATATACACAGCTGACTATGAAGAGAGGGTTTACCTGTTAAATACAGTCAGCTGCCATGAACCGGTGACCTAGCTTGCTGTGTGTGATGAGCCTGCTCTCCGCTGCAGGTCTTGTGTCCGTACATCAGCTTCTAAATACGTGTTTTCCACTTCCTGTTGAGCAGTGTTTATACGAGACTGGTTATTCAGCCGAAGGCTTGCATCTAGGTCGCCACGCGTGGGTCGATGCAGCTTACAATAACACAGGTGCAGTGACGCACTGTTCAGTTATTGCTTCCGTGTAAAATGTATTTGAATCACATTGCATTGTGTATATCCCGAGTTAAACCTGTAAAGCAATAAAAGCGGGTGTTGCTCATTCTGATTTGTCAAAAGTTGTCAGGTTTTTGTCAATCGTTCAGGCGTGACTGAGCGTTGCCATTAATGCGTCCCGGTAGCCATAGTAGTCAGAGTTCGCCGTGCAGAGTTGCTTCCCTTGAGCATGCCAAATACATTGTGATCGTGGGTTACTGTTTTGCATCGCTTTGAATATATTTGCACGTTGACCAGCACCTTCTCCGAAGTGTTAACACGCGTAACAGGAATTGCTACTATCGCTTTCTTCCTACATAATGTTGACACGTCGGGTTATTGCTGAACTATTGTTCCAAGCGGCTTCGATCTAAACCAACTCCTCACTAATTGTGTTCACTGACAATACATGCGTCGGCATAAAGGTGATGAGTGAGTGATTGAGGTTTTAGTTTTACGCCGCTTTTAGCAATATTCCAGCAATATCACGGCGGGGGCCACCAGAAATGGGCTTCACACTTTGGACCCATGTGTGGAATCGAACCCGGGCCTTCAGCGTGACGAGTGAACGCTTTGACCACTAGGCCACCCAACGCCCCCGGCGGCATAAGAGCTGCAACAAACACCAGACATATCGGCATGCATTAATTCATTCACATATTAAGACACACACTTTAGGTTTATTCATAACATGACGGAAGAGTTTCGTCATAATATAGAAAACAAATTAAATCCATTATAGTTTTAAAACAATCATTCATGCAGTTGGTTTGAGACGCTCACAATCCCCGCCGTCTCCACCGTCTCCATAACACTGTTGTCTGTCTTCAATCACACTTTTCTTGTCCTTAGCTGTCCTTATAGTTTCGTACTGAAAACAAAGCATAACAACTTCGTTATACACAATCCAAGTGATTATCAAATGAATTTGTTTACAAAATACTATTATTCAATTATTAATACACGTCTACGAAATCACCGTCTACGAACCAGTCTGGGCTACGAATCCACCGCGCCTACGAACTGGTTCAGCCTACGAAAACACTGTCTCCCGGTTGACCCTTCAACAAACAAACAAAACAAACAAACAAAACGACCCGGGGCACAACAAAACAATTAATGAACTAACAAAATACAACAAAACAACTAAACATAAGCTACAAAAAAACAATCAAAACAAAAAACACAATAAAAATACAACAAAAACAAAGACAACAATAACCAAACCTCTGAATAATATATCAATGTAAAAATTATCATTTGTTGTTTAATGAGTTTCTCCAAGACATAATGGTCAGTGTGTTGTGTGTGCGTGGGTAAAAATTCGAATATCTTTTGATATTTGATGTTAATGATGAAATCATTTATTGGGTTAACTACATTTCACGCGACATGTTTCAATATATAAATCAATGCTAGTCGACATATGCATCAGTCGTACTGATGGTTTGATAGAGGACAAACTTATGTGTAAGCAGATCTATTCAAACTAACTCAGTAAACTGACCAACAAGAAGAAAACAAAACGAGCACCTGTGATTCAGTCCATCACCAGGCCAGAGACCATATAGCGGTACATGCATGGTCTCCGACCAGGCCGAACCGGGGATACACTGGACACTACACATACACAACAAACATTAATAAAAGGGCGGACATGTTACCCCGTAATACTTTTGAAACCCAAGGCGCAATTTACTTACAATTTTATCCTATGAGGATTTATGTTGAATGTCCTCCGTATTTTAAGTAGACACCCCCACTTCCGGTTGTACACTTCCGGTATATTAGCCATGTGGTTTTGTTGACAAGCGAAGAAGTCGTATTTGTCTTGAATTTAGGCGATACCAGATGTTTTAAACATGTCTCGGATTATTGTCAAGAATCTACCAAAAGGGGTAGGTATTGATTTGTTGCATGTTTTACTTCTTAGTTGGGGTGATTTTGTAAATTACGAAATGGGCAGATGTCAGAAAACACATCCAGCAGACATAGTTTACTATATATACTGTAGAGAAGGATGTCAGCGATCAGCTCTAGGACCTGGGACAACCTGGAATATTGCTGAGTGAGGCGATTACAATAAACCAACCCATGTTGTGCTGATGGTGAAAGACAGACTTCAATGCATGTGTTATCAAATTAACTTGTCCTGTTTTGCTTCAGACCAAGGACGAGAAACTGAGAGAGCTGTTCAGTCAGAAGGGGGAGGTGACAGATCTGTCCATGAAATACACAAAAAATGGCGTCTTCAGGAATTTTGCCTTTATTGGTTTCAAATCAGAGAAGTCAGCACTTCAGGCCATCAAGCATTTCAACAACACCTACTTTAATAGCACAAAGATGCAGGTAATGTTGTTTTTTTAAAATGGATCAAGTCAGCTTATGAATAAAAAATCTGGTTGTACCACAATTACAGCAATCGAAACAAATTGACCTAGCCAGTATGCATAGGAACATTAACAGGCCCCCACAAATTTCTGCCACACTTACAAGAAAATCTACACGTATTCATCATGACTGAGACATGATGTCAGTTGGATAATGATGTTTGTTTATGCTCAATTCGAGGTATTATTTTCACCCATAACATAATGGTAAGCTCTAACAGATAAAAGTGTTACTTACCACAGTCAATAGTTCTTCTTCGGTCGCCATTTTCCCGCCGTTCTTGTTCCGGAAATGACGCGCTCGTGTCGAAAATTACAGATTGGGGACCGAAATAAACGGAGTTGTAACCGTACCGTACCGTTCGATTTCCAAACGAGATGTCGAATTTGCAACTGAATAAGCGACTATTTCTGCCAAATTTGATGTTCGTGCATGAAAACCAGATCGTCTTTTTCCATTCTGAACGCGTTGGGGACCAAAATAGATCGATTTCCTTCAATTCCTGCTATTATATGCTCTGAACTGGAGGGATTTCATTCCATATACACATTCTTGCTTCCGTTGTTTAGGGGGGCCTGATTAAGGTATTACAATGGAGGCTGATGTAAAGTTTCAATAGACATCATGAATTCAGGGTTATTGTAGCTATACTGAATTGTGAATTACATCTACACAAACACCTGGATCCATTCCCATGGTTCTCGTGATCTCAGATTACCTCCCCTTGATTCAATTATTGGGTTCGCTTTGCTAATCTGCTCAGCCTAATGAAAATATCCAAATGTATGTTGGCCCAACACTGTATGGCAAACCAGGTACAGTGTTGGGTCAACAAGATCAACAACAGGATGTCCAGTACCTTAATTACTGCAGAGTTTTATGAGAAACTCAACATTGAAAAGATAATAAAACGATGTGAAAGATAATAAAACGATGTGAAAGATAATAAAACGATGTGAAACCCTTCCAAATCTGTTTGATGGTTCGTAAAAATCAATGGCAGATATGGATCATGGAACCTTTATTGTGTTTTACTTTTGGCAATTCATGAAGTGTATATGAGGCAAAAAACAATTAAAAAAATGTTTTTGTGTAAGTTTACATTGTTGGCCAATAAAAACATTATGATTTTTCAATAGAATCATGACAACTTTTGCTTAGTCATAGTCATAAATAAGTCCTTGTCGGTTTGATTTAACTATAAACAACGTGTGATTCTGTTTGAGATTCCAGTGTATTAAGAGTTTTGTTTAATTTCAAGGTGGAACTTGCAAAAGATTTTGGTGACAAGACCAAACCACGAGCTTGGAGTAAATATTCTTCAGAGAGCTCCTCCAATCAGAAGAAGGCCAAGGCCGGAACGGCAGGAGAGAAACAAGCTGCAGGGACAGACAAGAAACTGGTATGAAATAAGTCTTTGAAGTAATACACCATTGTCCTATCTGGAGTGCAGTATTGTCGCAGCTAGAATACATTGATATCACAGGTAGAATGCATTGATATCACAGGTAGAATGCATTGATATCACAGGTAGAATGCATTGATATCACAGGTAGAATGCAGCAATGTCACAATGAAATACTCTATTGTCACCACGGGAATAAATTATTTTCTTGGCTAAATACGCTTTTTTCATAGTGGGAATTTGTTATTGTTCCGCTGGGAATGTGTTACTGTTTACCAGCTGATGTCAAATGAAACAACATGGATGGTTGGATAGCCTAGTGGTTAAATCGTTTGCTCATTGACGCCGAAGACCTGGGTTCGATTCCCCACATGGGTACAATATGTCAAGCCCATTTCTGGTGTCCCCCACCGTGATATTGCTGGAATATTGCTAAAAGCGGCATAGAACCATACTCACTCACTAATACAAGCACAAGAGTTAGTTGCTACTCCTACATGTAAGGCTGCAGTGATAAACCTTAGTGATGTCATCAGAACCTTGATTTACAGGCTGGTGTGGAGAGGAAGAAGAAGGCCAAAGACGAGAAAATGAAAGAATTTCTTGGTGAAGTGAGTTATAAAATAAGCTTGCCATTAACCACATTCTTAATGGGTTGTACAGCAAAACAGTAATTATAATCTAGGAAACAATGTTGGAATCACCCTGTTACCTTTTCCTTCATGTATTCTTACCTGATCAAAGGGTCATCAAAAACCCATGCTTGTCGTCAAGGGTATCCAACGGGATTGGGTATTCAGGCTCACTGACCTGGTTGTCATTTTATCTCTAGATCAATGTTCCTGATGTCCATCACTGGATTGTCTGGTCCGGATACACTAATTTACAGAAGCAGCCATATAACTGGAATATTGCTGAGTGTGGTGTTAAAAAACCAAAACAAACATATCATGTATTTCTGCTTCTGTTATTTTTGACAACCATGGCATAGAATGTTCATTAAAGAGCAATAAGAGACTTAAGTCCAGTTCCTCTCACTTGACCTACTCAACACAATCCATCCCGATCATGGCCAAGCTGACTGCTGGTATGACGTCATCTTCCAGCTCGGGGATGATCCAGAGTTCAAAGAGTTCCTGGAAGTTCATGAAAACTCATCGAGGAAAAGCACATGGAGCAATGACACGAGTCAAGCAGCAGTTGCCTCCCCTGACAAACAGATGAAGAAACGCAATGATGTCACCTTTGATGACGAAAGTAGCAGCGGTGAAGAAGACAAAAGTGAAGACAGTGATGATGACACAAGTGATGACAGAGACAATGAAAAAGGTTTGTGTTGAGACATGTATTTTGGGTGAGTTAATTTGCTGAATAACCATGTCAAACTCTGTATTCTGCTTGTCAGAACATGTTCTTTTGGGGCATTATTTTCAGTACATTGTAGGATTTGTTACGGATCTGGGCCCCGTTCTGCAAAACAATCGTAGCTCTAAGATGATCGTAACTCCCATATTTTAACATAGACTTACGACAGTTGTAGTACTATGATAGCTTTGAGGAACGGGGGCCCTGGTCCATGTTGCACAAAACATGACCTCGGTCAGTGTCACAGGACTCTGATCCCACTTGGCCAAGGTTGTAGTTTGTCGTGTTATGCTTGGGGTTACACTTTCTCAGTATAGTACAGAATCTAGTACTTTTAAAGTGGCGGTGGCTGAGTGGGTGGCAGTTAGGTGCCTGACAGTGTGGGTTCGAATCTGGATGGGACTCAATCTAACAAAAGTACTAGAATCTGTACTTCACTGAGAAACTGTACTCCCAGATAAAACTTGTCCCAGAAATACTTTTTCACTTCTGAGATCCATTGACCATTTTCTTCTTGTAGATGTGAAGCAGTCGAAACCCGCTGCAAAGACGGCGCTGTCCGATCTGGAGGTACGTGGTGCTAGTGTGTAGGAAGAATAGATTCCTTCAAAACACTGCGCAGATAGACATGATACAAAAATCAGTAACATAAAAATGGCTGTATTTTTGTATACACTACAATATGGGAACGCTGGAAAACAACCTCTTCATTGACTTAGTGGTCTATTGGCTCCAGGGAAGTGCTTGAGACTCGCCATTTTGTATTGCTCAGATACTAATGTACCTGTACATGTGAAAGTTCATTCCAGAATAGACCCATGAAGATCCGGGTTAGAATATTGATCTTCAGTAACCCATGCAACTAAGAGGTTTCTCTTGCAAAATGTCTTCTCATATCAAATGGCCCACACAAAGGGGGGCAAAACTTTGGCTAGGTTTGTTTCTACTTGATCTTAAGTTCCCAGCATTTGAATCAGAACATATTTGAGTATCCGTGGTGAGAGGTACTTTTGTCTGTCTTGTTGGCTCTATAAGGTTAGAACGCTGCCATATAGCTGGAATATTGCTGAGTGCGGCGTAAAACTAAACTCACTCACTCACTATAAAGTGAGCTACAGTACCCAGGCACTATTGTCATATGTCCCTTGTTTCCAGTATTTGAAGACGATGATGACGTCATCCGTACTTCTAAGTGAATCTGATGACTCAGACGAAGAGTACAAAGAAGATACTAAATCAAAGAAACAGAAACTTGTTGAAGGCAAAGTGAAGAAGAAGAAAAAGGGTTCCAAGCCAGATAGCTCAGATGCAGCGGAAGACGATTCAGGGAAGACAACCACTCCTAGACAGGTACATTTCTGTTCTGTTTCTGTGGGTGTTTTGTTTCAGTACATTAGCAACTCTAGTGCAGAAGTCAACAGATTATAGTTATGGTTGTGAGAAAATTGTGACTTGAATCTACAATATGTGTCTCCACAGATACATCTGTATACACAAGTTGTGTCCATTATGGATGTGGTGGATCTCACATTCCTGGTCCAGCTGGAATACAATCAGATGAAGCTCAAAACTAAACTCACTCACTCACTCATGGATATGAAAAGACATTCCATGATTAGTGTGAAATTGTGATGCATGAACTGTACCAAGATCCATGTTATTGTGTCTGTTGACTTTATGCACACCTTGTTCTTCTCTTTAATGCCAATAATTCCTTCATGCCAATAACAGTGCCGTTGATATTTTCAGGTTGAAGATAAGCCGAGATATGTTGCAAAGATCCGAGGGCTGTATGGGAAATACAATGAGGTAGTGTACCACTTGTCATGGTGAACTGTTGGTTTATATCTCACGTATCACATCTTCAGATCCAGGGTTGTCATGTGACATTATGGGAGATATGACCATGATTACATCACATGCATGACCACAACGTCTTGTTGCGTCAGTCACATGATCGAGTCACGGAAAGTGAACCCCATTTTTTTCTCATTCTTGGTTTTTCTTGTGTTCCTTCCTGTGGTGGAAGTAGCATTACCCTCTTATCTTAATTTCATGTAAAATACTTTAATTTCATTGGTCAATGAAGCTTTAACAAGTTTCCGTGTCACTCCTCCCAGGAGGGTGACAACTGGAAATAATATTAGTAGTAAATATGACACATGCAGTGCCCAGAGTTCGAAAACCTTTCGATTAGGTGTGTTTTTTGAGTTCACTATGTACACATTTATTTTACAGACTTTCACTGCTTTGTTTAAACTATTTTATACATTGAATCATTTGCACACTCAACTTAAACATAATTAACCATTTTTATAGTAGTTTTAAGCTTGTCAGAATATGTTTCCCTGATTTTGAAAATCCGGTTGAGAAACAGGCGCCATGTTGTTTACATGCCATATAGTCGGTAGCGATCTTCAAAATAAGATAGAATAATATTTTGTACATTTAACATGGCGGTAGGATAAATACGGCTCGGGTGACACTGCTACTACAAACAGGCATACACCAGACCTGTTATACCACCTGTGTCTGGCTTTCTGTCATGTGTTCACTTCAAAACCCTTTTATCAACCTCTGCAGATCTGTATCTTTGGGCCAGGTCTCAAGTAAATTCTCATGTTTTTGTTTTTCAGAAATTGATCAAAGAGTTCTTCCAACCTCTAAGCACTGTGTCGATCAAGTTGCCCAGAAATGCTCGCAAGAACCTCATCGGTAGATACTAATTTACTCTGTGACTTAATTGATTTGCTTGTCATTGCACCCCCAAAGTCTTGTTCATAATATTGATCACTGTTTGTTTGCTCTGCACTCATATATATGGAATATTGTTGGTTGTAATGTTTAACATAAAAAAAACTGAGTGAAAAATCTATAAGTTAAGCTTCTCACTCACAGTCTCACTCACATACAAACTCACTCACACAGACACAGAATCACTCACAGACTCACAGACTCACTCTGATTCAGATCACTGACTCATAGTCTCACTCACAGACTCACTCAGTCTCTTACTCACTCACAGACTCACTCACTCTCTCACTGTTTAATTCTCTACAGACAAGCCTGGTTATAAGCCAGCAAGCATAAGCATGATATAATATATATATTTCATGATCTGTGCGACCTCACTAAGCTGGTTTCTGTTGACAGGTGTTGCCTTTGTTGAGTTCACCTGTGCCAAAGATTTGGATCAAGCTTTGAGGAAAAACAAATCCTTGATCAGTAAGCTCTATGTTATCTATTCAATAACTGAATAATTATCATGTAAATGATGCTTTCAGATATATTTAGTCTCCCTGTACAATATTGTGCCAATCAGCAAGTGAACACAAATACTCTAAGCCTGTGGTTTATGCTGATGTGGTCGAGTAGTTAATGTAATAAGGTGATATGGACGTGCTCAAACCTTGTATGGGGCACTTGGATAGGTCACTTCCAGATCTTGTTATAGTTTGTTTAGGGGTCACTTCCTAGAAGTTTGTTTGTACTTTAAAGCTAGGTCTGTAGGTAGGGTTACAATTGATCTTCAGTATCCCATGATTGTCATAAGAGGCAACTAACGGGATCAGGTGGTCAGTCTTGCTGACTTGAAACATGTCATCGTGTTCCAGTTGTGTAGATTGATGATCATGATGCTGATCACTGGTTTGTCTGGTCCAGACTCGATTATTTACAGACTGCCGCCTTATAGCTGGAATATTGCTGAGTGCAGCATAAAACTAAACTCACTCACTCACTGTAGGTAGGCAATCGGTAGTGAGGTACCCTCATACCTTCTAAGGGGGTCATAAACAAATTACTGACCTATCAGTGTGGAAGTTGGTTGGGTCACTTCCTGTTTGGTGCTACTTCAGCGGTAGGCCTACCTACAGCAGAGCACGCTCTGGCTTGTGGGGAGTGCAATATGGGTCTCCTAACTCAAATATAGATACCTTTTAGTCTTTGTAATGGAATTAATATGTTGACTGTTACTGTGGTTACAGATGGCAAGCGGATCAGCATGAAGAGGACTCAGGAAGAGGCTGACCTCAAGGTCACCGAGCATGAACCCAGAGCATGGGAACTAAAAATAGTATGGGATATTTTATGTTTTGATGGTGGTTCTGTATCCAAGGTGATGTTAATGTTGAAGATTTTCTCACACTTTTATTTATGTTGCCTAATTAGTTTTTTGAAGCGATAATTTGTACAAAACCCACAAGAATAGTTTTGAGGTATAGAAATGAACTACTGTTGATAATGATAGTCCACTGTACAAAACCCACAACTTTCTTTGATGTTATAATGTGAACTTCCCTTCCAATATCATGTTCAGATATCATCAGTGCCAATTTGGTTACTCGCGTGGGCTAGGACATAAAAAGTATGCATGTTAACTATATGTGACTGATTGTTTTACATGTTTAACATGTACCTTTTGTCAAACAAGTCAAACAAGAAAAGCCCGCCCTACAGTGAACAAGAGGCTTGCCAAGTCGTTTACATTTCTGTTGTTATCAGTCAAGTAGTGACCTTACGTCAGATAGACATCCCAGTTCTTGGGTCCCTGAAATTCAGTACAGAGACCCCTTAGGATTCCAACACAGACCCTGTTAGATCCCCATGTAGAATACTGACTGACTGACTGAGTTTGGTTTTACGCTGTTTTTAGCAATATTCCAGCAATATCATGGCAGGTGGCACCAGAAATGGGCTGCACAAATTGTACCCATGAAGGGAATCGAACCTGGGCCTTCGGCGTGACAAGCGAACACTTTAACCACTAGGCTGATGAGCATGTAGAATAACGCTTTAACCACTAGGCTACCCCATTTGTGGCGTCACTGTCTGCTTGCTTATCTGTAACGTTACACAGGATTACTTTGCCCTGGACGCAATTTTGTTTGACTAAATTTTAGCATTATGTATTTCGAATTCAGCTGTAAAATGAAGGTATGGTTCCAGGGTATTTAACATATTGGATTTGAGATAACTGGAGCCTGGATAAATGAAGGTTCACATAATCTGGTATTATGTATTTGTTTTGTCCAGCAACAAGACCGGGCGGAGGAGGATGAAGGTATAGCTGAGGTGAGTTAATGGGTGCTGAACAGATCCATGTCTGTAATTTCTACTTGCTCATGCTATGAATTCAAATAAATTTAAAATGTCTCAAAATCTGACCTTTTACTTTGATACTATTCTATTTGATGATGTACTATAGTATCTGTTGGATCTAACTGGGCTGGATGCTTGAGCCAGTCAGATGTTGTTGTCTTCCTGCTTAACTGGCTTGTATTGAGAATACAGAAGTCTAAGGCCCCCCCAAAATATATGTCCGTTGCCTATTACATGCTTGTTAAAAATAGGGTAGGTGAGTCGGTTTTATCCTCTCTTTTTTACGCTTTAAAAGAAATAATATTTTAGCACCAGGTGGGCACCTGAGAAGGTTTTAACAAGAGTACCATATCATGTAGTGACAATGCCTTGTGATGAAACACTGAAAGATTTCTATATCAAATTATTATTTATGTTATTTATTTGCAGGTTTTGTCAGTGAGAGCCCATTATGCCAATTCGATGCAATCCATTTTAGCCCTACGTACACTGAAAAACATGAAAATATCATACTTGATTTGGATGAAAATGATAAGTTGAAATGCACTCCAGTCATGATTTTGACTTGGTTAAAAAAATGTTTTGGGGGTGTTTGTTAGGATAGAGTCAGTTGGGTTACCAGAAATTGTATTTTTTTGCCTAAACACACTGTGTGAGTACACTTGTCATTTAGAAAATGGTCAAATGTAATATGTTATACTAGTATTTGAGATTACACTTTCTCAGTAAAGTACAGATTCTGGTACATTATCGGGTTGTTTCCCGTCCATTTATTTGAACCCACACTCTCCAGAATGACAATCTGCTGTCCACAATGGCAGGTAGGATGGTCATGTTTATGCTGTGACAGGAAGTGTTGGTTGTGTGACTTTCATCAAGATGTTTGCTGTCTGTTTCAGTCCGGGAGGCTGTTTGTGCGGAACCTGGCGTACTGCTGTACAGAGGATGATATACATGCTTTGTTTAACGAATATGGTGAGCAGATATTTATGCTTGTTATATACAGTCAAATCCCGATGAGTCGAATCGCTGGGGACCAAGTAATAAATTTGACTTATCCATGTATTCTACAGACATAGGTATGTCTATGAGGGTAGAAAAAATATGATCCACTGTATCCTAATTCCTCCTAATTCCTCTGCCCTAAGCATTTGTTTATCTAATGATTTCCCTATCACTAATAGGGGCACCTTATCAGTTCCAGTCTGATTAGCACAGACAGTGATTTCCGTAAAATCTCTAATCTGCCTTTTGAACTCACCCGTCAATGGCGGAAAGGTGTGAGCCGCGCTGGTTTGTCAATTGGATCAGTTTGCTACACCAATCAACTTCTCATTGACTGACTTCGGCTTATGTATACAAGATTGCTGTTGTTTGAATCTCATGGGACCAGATTTCCTTTTCGAGTCCTCGTGTGTATTTATGAGACGACTTCGTGTAACCGGAAATCAAATGATGACAACTATAACAGGGAATGGTGGGGACCGACAGGTACTTCAAGTTATGCATAATATTCGAGACACCGGCATTCGACTCATCGGGATTTGACTGTATTACTGATCACATACTGTATGAAGCAGAAACTATCATACCAATACCTTACTTGAGTGTTCAAAAACAGTGTTCAGATATGTCTGTTGTTCATGTCCAAGATGGTTTGAACAAACATCTGTTGGATGTGAATTGATACTTTCTGTGAATCGGGTAGTTAAAGCTGACTGTTCCATGATAAAAATAATTTTAAAAAATCAGTTCAGTGTTAAATGATGAGGACAAATGTGATGATGTTAACGTAAGTTTCTTTGTATTTAGGATACTCAATATTTATACATAGAAACAGGACACAGTGTGAAAACAGAAGCTAGTAGGTTGTTACACATGTGCATTTAAGTAATGTTGTATCAATCTTCTGATACATTCTTGATGTAGTTGCATTAGTGTTCACCAAGTAGAGTTGTCTCCCTTAGGCCAGGATCTTGTGATGGGATGGTAATTTCCAGTCCTCACTTATTATGATCCCTATTGTGTTCACATTGTATCACACCACCTCCGCCGTCATATGAGCAAAAATATTTCCCGATAACGACTTTAACCCAATTTAACCTCACCTCACCTTCACATTGTATCACACTTATGTAGGAGTGAAAATTGGCACAAGTTGGCCAGTTTTGTAATGAATCTTGTCTTCTTTGTACCCTACTACCTTACATGATTGATGTGATTGACATGATTGATGCGATTGACATGACTGAGATTGACATGATTGATTATTCAGGTCCCCTGACAGACGTGAGTGTTCCAGTTGATCCATTCACCCACAAGATCAAGGGTTTTGCACATGTGACATTCATGATGCCAGAGCATGCTGTGAAGGGTTTTGTGGCGCTGGATGGAACCGTCTTCCAGGTAGAGGCTTCAGACAACTGCCAACCTCAAGTGACCTTATACCAGTTGACCTTTCATAGGGCTATTTCTTCTTGTGATATTTGAACAATTGACATTTGTTGTGACCTTTCATTCAAAAGTGAACAACTGGTGAACTACTAGTGAACTGCCAGTGAGCCTGCTGTCTTATTTCACTCACTCACCCTGCTGTCTGATTTCACTCACTCACCCTGCCTGCTGTCTGATTTCACTCACTCACCCTGCTGTCTGATTTCAGGGGCGAATGTTACACATCCTTCCTGGAAAACCCAAGCCAGAAGACATCGAAATAACAGGTGAGTTAGTTCACTGAAGAGAGCGGAGCGCAGACATTGGGCTTCTCCAGCATCAGGCTGGCAGAGATGACAACCTCTACGATTTCATCATAGTCGCTATGAATTTTAGCCTCAAACTTGGCCAATACGATTGCACTAGAAATTCTTTGAAATTTGAAGAAAGTTCATTACAATTCCAATATATAGACAAAAACATATATTTTCGTCGATTAAATACATTTTCGGACTTCACCTTCCATTCATCAAATTTAATGATATATCTGAACTGGAGTGAGAGAGTGAGTGAGTGAGCGAGGGACAATTTGGAAATCTGCTGTTGGAGGTACCATATGTGAAATTAAAGCTGCGCTCTTGAGTAGTGAAGGTCCGGGTTAGAATGAACCTTCAGTAACCCTTGCTTGTCGTAAGAGGCGACTAACAGAATCGGGTGGTCAGGCTCGCTTGCTTGGTCAACACGTCATCGATTCCCAATTGTGCAGATCGATGCTCATGCTATTGATCACTGGATTGTCTGGTCCAGACTCGATTATTTACAGCCCGCCGCCATATAACTGGAATATTGCGGAGTGCAGCGTAAAACTAAACTCACTCACTCAGTCACTTGATTAGTGTTATATTATATTTCTCAGAATCCGTCATGATTTTAAGTATTTAGTTGACTTCTAATTTTATGGTCAAACTACTAATTTTGATCCTTGAAAGTACTATTTGCAACACTTTGGGGTTGGCATCTCTGGGTGTGTCAAGCTTGTTGGACTAGGTGTCTGTTCTGTAGACTGGCAGTCACAATGGCTGCACAATCTGGTAGTTCAGTGTTCATATGACACTTAATTGACTGTGACTCGATACTCAACACTCGAAACTCGTGCATTATGTGGCTTAAGCTGAGTGAGAACGTCTGAAGGATGATTTGTTGTAGAGAGAAGGGAAATACGTTGATGACCTGATCAATCTCTCTGTTAGTAAAACAATAGACATCAACACATTGTGCAGTTTGTGCACGTCCTGAAACATTCATTTTACGGCAGAAGTACTTGCAAGGTATTTTTGGTTTTCAGAAAAAACATCTTTTAAGAAGAAAAAAGAAGCAGAACAGAAGTCTATGGCTAAAAGGTGAGGACTGGTGACTGGCGGCTGGGACTGATGACTGCTGGCTGGGACTGGTGACTGCTGGCTGGGACTGGTGACTGCTGGCTGGGACTGGTGACTGCTGGCTGGGACTGGTGACTGGCGGCTGGGACTGATGACTGCTGGCTGGGACTGGTGATATCCTTCATTTGTGATATCGCAGGTTGATTTATAAAAACATGCTGTGCATCAAGCATAGTCATACGGCCATCATTGTGTTTGTCCAGGTTTATTATTGTTTGTCCAGTCTTTTTTTGGTGTGGCAAGTCACCCTGCTAAACGCAATGTCACTGTGTGACTGCAGCCGAGAAGCGTGAAATTTGTAAATTTAAAGAAAGCCATCCTTCAGCCAGTTTAGACCATATCATCAAACATTTTGAAAAATCCTCTTGACATGCCATTGGTAAATCTACAATTGGGGACATTTTAAAATCTAAGGATAAATGGTTAGTACTTTCAGAATATTCGGCCTCTATTTCTCGTGCCAGAAATGCAAAATACCAAAATTTGGAAGAACACCTCATTCTTTGTATTAATGACTTGAATAGCAAAAATTCTGCAGTAAATGATGCCATGATTGTTCAGAAAGCGGAATTGTTTGGCTCACAACTCAGCATTTCGGATTTTTCCTATTCACGTGGTTGGCTGTCAAGTTCAAATCTCATTTCTCTCTCTCCCAAAAAAACTCTCAGGCGAAGCAGCTAGTTCAGATAAAACGGCAATTTCAATAGGGAGAGAAGAGTTGAAATCAGTGCTCAAGAATTACGAGCCTGATGATATTTTCAATGTGGATGAGACAGGTTTATTTTATAAATTAGGCCCCAATTACACTCTGGCTTCGAAGGCTTGCGCAGGCGTGAAAAGATCTAAAGAGCGCATCACAGTAGCATTCTGCTTCAGTGCTCGTGGAACAATGAAAATGAAACCATTCGTCATCGGCAAGGCAAGACAACCGAGGTGCTTCGGCTGAAATTTCAACCTGGAATTGTATGTCCGTTATCGCCATAACACCAGAGCATGGATGACCAGTGAATTATTTAGTAACCGGTTGCGACACTTTGACAGATCCATGCGTCTGAAAGGTCGTACGGTCATCCTACTTTTAGGTAATGCTGCCAGCCATAACCACAAGGACGTTCGGCTGACCAACATCACCGTGCACTTCCTTCCTCCCAACACCACTGCATATTCATCCAATGGACGCTGGTATCATCCAGAACTTTAAAGCCCTTTACAAGAAGTGGCTATGAAACACTACATGAGAATGGCCAACCCCAGACGCTAAGGTTAGCTATCCGGTTCGTCAAGTCTGCCTGGGATGGAGTGAGTGTGAAGTGTATCAACAACTGCACAAACACGTTGACATAATTCCGACCACAGCTGAGACTGAGGACGAAAACAACGATGACATCCCCCTTGCTGAGCTGCGGAATTTGATGCAGCAGTTACCAAGAAGTGATGGGGACGAAGTCCCAACTGATGAGCAGTACGTGGATGAAGACACTGTCGTAGACACCGGTCATGAGCTGACTGATGACGAAATCATCAACAGAGTGCAGCCACCGACAGACGACCAGTCAGACGACGAGGACCAACAAGCAGTTGTCCCACCAACAGTAGCAATATGTCCGGAGAAACGGGGTTCGACTGTACCTGGATATGTATCTCTGGCTACACACGAAACTCCTTGTAGCGTTATAAGGAATGTATGACATCAAGGTGGTCCTTCATTCACTGGCAACTGATATAAGCCATGTCATAATGATTCTAATTGTTGCGACACAGAAATGTAAGGAATGTCTAATCCTGGATGTTATGTTGCTGGGTACTGGGTGCAAGCGTAGACCAACATCCTCTCCTGTATGTGTTGTTCTGTTAAGGTGGGTACAGCGTGGACCAACATCCTCTCCTGTATGTGTTGTTCTGTTGGTGGGTGCTGGGCGTGAGACCAACATCCTCTCCTGTATGTATGTGTTGTTGCTGGGTACAGCGTAGACCAACATCCTCTCCTGTATGTGTTGTTCTGTTGCAGTTCCCACAACTGGAACACCATGTTTATTGGCGCCAATGCCGTGGCCGACACTATGGCGGAGAGATACGGCACCAGCAAGAGTCAGATCCTTGATGCTGTGAGTAGCTGCTGCTCCGAATCAGAGAGTTATTTTATTTTGAGAATTTGGTGAGCAGAGTTATTGCCCTTAGTCATCCAAGAGCCTGATTAAGATTCTTGGTATCATTTATGTCAGGTTGGGTTGCCCTGATGAAGATTCGTAATAAAAATAAAAATGTTTCATGCCAGAGTTTTGGAGGAGGAGGATTATGATGATGATGATGATGATGATGATGATGATGATGATGATGATGATGATGATGATGATGATGATGATGATGATGATGATGATGATGATGATGATGATGTTTGTATTAGAGCGGGAAGGAGAGCCTGGGGGTGAGGATGGCGCTTGGTGAGACACAGATCGTGTCGGAGACGAGGGATTTCCTGCTTGACAACGGTGTCAGTCTGGACAGCTTCAGTCAGGTAGGGTTGTCCGTCACTTGCTCTTGTATATCAGAACAGATGTAAACTATTTAGTATCAGGAATGAATAATAACAATCAAAATCCATTCTTATTGTCATTGACTGAAGATCAGTATATGTATCAGTATATGTATCAGTATATCATTATATCGTTTTATACATAAGAAATATACTTCATGCAAAAGCCCCACCCCGAATGATTCTGTAGGTAATGTATTATATATAAATGTAGAAATAGAAATATTTAAAATTCCACGATGTACAACTCATATGATGAATCCGTCTCAACCTGCTTGTCTCAGGCCGCCGCTCCCCGCAGTAAGACTGTCATCCTGGCCAAGAACCTCCCGGCTGGAACCAATGAGCTGGAACTACGGGAGAAGTTTGAGAAGTATGGAACTCTGGGAAGATTCCTTCTGCCGCCAGCCAGAGTCTCTGCGCTCATTGAGTTCCTGGAACCAGCGCAGGCTCGGTCTGCCTTCACCAAACTGGCATACACAAAGGTAGCACCCGCTTGTCCTCCACATCAGGGAACCACCAGTGTTCTGTAGGTTGTGAGATACAGGGGTTCTCATGTATCTTGGGGCTGTCTTACAGGGGGTGCTAAACATTCCGAGGAGGAAATTTGTTGTCTGCACCCTGCTTACATTGAACTAACAATAGATACACTGCAAGTAATGCATGACCTTTGACTAGTTAACCTAGCAAATGTTTTACAAGTACTGTAAATCATGAAATTAATGCGAGCATTATATTAATGCGAAAAATGCGTCTGTACTCTTCTCGCATTATTATAATGACGCATTTCAGTCTGATGATGTCTACTTAATAAAAGACAGAAAACGTAAATCTGTTGACACTACACATTACACCAATACAGGTCACTTCCTCATTACAGGTATCTCAAGCCACATGTAATTATCACTGGTTACAATCACTGGTCATTGTTTAAAGTCACTCAAGCACATCAGCCAGATCAGACATTCTCCAGCCACTTGTTTGTTGTACCTTGGTAGATGACTTGTGTCTTTCACGTCGGATTACATTTATACATGTTGTCAGAAGACAAGTAGTAGCAAGCAATCACGTGATCAAACATGGCAGCGTAATCAAAACATCCTCAGCTCATTTCCATTCATTGCTTAACAAGCTCAATTCATTCTATCATCAACACAGATTCCTAAGCTCGCATTAATTTCGTGACGCATTTTAAACTAGACCCTCGCACTCGCATTACATTTGTGACGTATTAATTTCATGATTTACAGTGTGTTTCCACTCACACTTACAGTGTCAGAGCTACAGATAACTTTTTTGGGTCATTGAGTTATGTACTCGCATGTGTTCATCTCATTTGGGTAATTTTCCTTTGAGTAACCAAATAAATTGTACTCGCCTCACTCAAACTCAATGGGGTATTTTGCCATTTTACATTGATTTTAAAAATATAATAAAGTTTAAATGTTAGTGTTTGTTATTTATATTTGATCTGTTAATGAAAAAACGATAAGAAAGACTGCAAGTTGTCAAGTTCATGTCCTGAAATAGAACCTCTTAATATACCTCAGTTATTATCTCTATCCACCGGTACACAAGCTAAGATTTGACGTTTTTGTGTGTACGCATGTAAGATCACATTTAGTGAGTATTTACAAAGATTCAAGCGTACTTGTACGCAATAGACTTAAAAGGAATTGAGTTTTCACATAAAATTTACGCAGATACACAGCTTATCTGTACCTGTCTAGTGTGCCTGTTGTTCCTATGTCTATTCCTACTATTATACATGCAACAAAGACATTGAAGTCGTTGTAAGTAACTCGAAATATGTGTAATCTTATCAGCTCCTGAATAACAAGGCCAAAAAAGAGTGAGTGAGCGAGTGAGTGAGTTTAGATTAGTTTAATGCTGCTTTAGCAATATTCCAGCAATATCACAGCGGGGAACACCAGAAATGTTCTTTACACATGGTACCCATAGGAAATCTTATCTGGGTGCAAATCATTAACCACTAGGTTACACAAATGTAGAAATTTTGCAGTACATTTTAATAAATCCAGCAAACAGATTTGTCATATTTTAATTTCTCTTATTTTTGTGAATTAAAAAGGAAAACAGAAATTCTTAAATCAATTCACATGTTCAAGGTTTGTTCTTGTAACCCTGTGAACTGGATTATTGTCATGCAGTTGTGATATAGGCTGACTATTGACACGTACACTCACTCACTCACTCACTCACTCTGATGTGTTCTCACTCACTCACTCACTCACTCACTCACTCACTCACTCACTCACTCACTCACTCACTCTGATGTGTTTCACTGTAGTTCCAGTACCTGCCTCTGTACCTGGAGTGGGCGCCTGTCGGGGTGTTCACCACGGAGTACAAGGCACCACCAACAGAGGAGATGGAGGAAGAAGAGGAAGAGACAGAGAAAGAACCTACAGCAGTAGACAAAGAAGAAATTAAAAAAGTGGTGTGTAGTCATATGGGAACCCATGGAATTGCAGTAATCAGTTCTTCCGTAGAACCTTAGATGAACTCTGAGGGAAACTATAGTCATTAAAATCCCATTCTGTATCCTGATGCGATAGCTCTGTGTTAAGATCTGTCATGTCCATGCAAGGCTGTGTCAGGTGATCCGTCATGCAAGGCTGTGTCAGGTGATCCGTCATGCAAGGCTGTGTCAGGTGATCCGTCATGCAAGGCTGTGTCAGGTGATCCATCATGCAAGGCTGTGTCAAGTGATCCGTCATGCAAGGCTGTGTCAGGTGATCCGTCATGCAAGGCTGTGTCAGGTGATCCGTCATGCAAGGCTGTGTCAGGTGATCCGTCATGCAAGGCTGTGTCAGGTGATCAGTCATGCAAGGCTGTGTCAGGTGATCCGTCATGCATGGCTGTGTCAGGTGATTCGTCATGCAAGGCTGTGTCAGGTGATCCGTCATGCAAGGCTGTGTCAGATGGCTGTGTCAGGTGATCCGCCATGCAAGGCTGTGTCAGGTGATCCGTCATGCATGGCTGTGTCAGGTGATTCGTCATGCAAGGCTGTGTCAGGTGATCCGTCATGCAAGGCTGTGTCAGGTGATCCGTCATGCATGGCTGTGTCAGGTGATCAGTCATGCAAGGCTGTGTCAGGTGATCCGTCATGCATGGCTGTGTCAGGTGATCAGTCATGCAAGGCTGTGTCAGGTGATCCGTCATGCATGGCTGTGTCAGGTGATTTGTCATGCAAGGCTGTGTCAGGTGATTCGTCATGCAAGGCTGTGTCAGGTTTTTCCATCATGTAGCTTGAATGCCTCCAATTTGTCGGTATTTACCACATCTCATAAAGTAAACTGGTCACTTCCAAATGGTAATGGTTGTGCCTTTAGATTATTGATAATGCATTTCCCCTCAAACATTTCTGATTGCCAGCTAACGAATATTTATGTTCTATGTTGGTTTTCTGTATGTAAAATTTCCAAATTCAATTTCTCAAATCATTTGAGTCTGAAGTCACAAGTGACATGATAATTGCTACAGAACACTTCTCCATGGTTTGATTTTGCATATTTAGACCATAATACATACAATATTAATCTTTGTCCCTGTTCATTTCACTACAAAATGCAACTGCCGTGGTTTGATTACGTTCAGATGAACACTGATGTGTTCCCTTCGTTTTCTGCATCATCGTCCAGTCACGTGACTTGCATCTGTTGATTGGAGTGGATGCCTCGTAGAGTTAGCTTAAGATCTAAACCGTCATAAACTCAATGCCTCCTACGTCATAGTATAGATTCATGTTTGTGTAAAATAATTGTATTAATGTTGCTCTAGCAAATATTGTTGTCAACAATGTTTCCAGGTTACGGAGGAAGGTGAATCTGATGACGAAGATGAGGAAGAGCGTACCCCAGGCTGTACCCTGTTTGTGAAGAACCTCAACTTCGATACGACGGAAGAAGACTTTAAGACGGTATGGGCCAATCTGACTTCAGTTGACCTGTCCTGAGAGGTCATGTGATATTCAGATGTTGCAAGTTGTTGTCCATAAACCTGTTTTTCCATTTTTTACTTGTTCCCAAAATGGCTTGATGGATTGAGCCGAAATTGTGTGTGCATGTTTGTTGCAACTTTTGTTTAATGGGAGTCACTGACATTTTCCTATTGGGTGAACTACAAGGCCATGAAAGCACTATTGTATATGTACCATGTCAAATATTCAGATTTTAATCACCAGTGTGTGGCATATTCTGGTTCAACAAAAAAATGGAGATTTTATTCCCTCTTTTTTTTTTTGTCTTTAGATGTTCGAGAGATGTGGAAATGTAAAATATGCGACGATATCCAAAAAGAAGGACTTCAAAAATCCAGGTCTGTTTCCATCTGCTCACTTACCCAGTATGGGGTTTAGGTTCACAGTCTCCACTGTATGTAGGTGAGCTATGGGCATAACTTGGGACTGGACATATCACAGTAACTGTAACAACTATGTAAATTTATGTACTTTGCTAGTTGATGAAGAATGATGACAAATTTTATTGATATACAACTACTTTTATTCTGTGAAAGGCGACGTTTCGACATAGATCTATGTAAAAGAAGTTGTATGTCCATAAAATTTGTCATCATTCTACTTTGTTAGTTCTGAACCGGTTCATTAAAAACATTTTATGCAGTGGGAGTCAGTGAATAAAACAATGTATGCAGTGGGGGTCAGTGAATATAACAATTTATGCAGTGGGGGTCAGTGAATAAAACAATTTATGCAGTGGGGGTCAGTGAATAAAACAATGTATGCAGTGGGGGTCAGTGAATAAAACAATGTATGCAGTGGAGTCAGTGAATAAAACAATGTATGCAGTGGAGCCAGTCAATAAAACAATGTATGCAGTGGGGGTCAGTGAATAAAACAATGTATGCAGTGGGGGTCAGTGAATATAACATTTTATGCAGTGGGGGTCAGTGAATAAAAACAATGTATGCAGTGGGGGTCAGTGAATAAAACAATGTATGCAGTGGGGGTCAGTGAATAAAACAATGTATGCAGTGGGGGTCAGTGAATAAAACAATGTATGCAGTGGGGGTCAGAGAATAAAAATGTATGCAGTGGGGGTCAGTTAATAAAACAATGTATGCACTGAAGTCAGTGAATAAAACAATGTATGCAGTGGGGTCAGTGAATATAACAATGTATGCAGTGGGGTCAGTGAATAAAACAATGTATGCAGTGGGGTCAGTGAATAAAACAATGTATGCAGTGGGGTCAGTGAATAAAACAATGTATGCAGTGGGGATCAGTGAATAAAACAATGTATGCAGTGGGGCCAGTTAATAAAACAATGTATGCAGTGAAAGTCAGTGAATAAAACAATGTATGCAGTGGGGGTCAGTGAATAAAACAATGTATGCAGTGGGGGTCAGTGAATAAAACAATGTATGCAGTGGGGGTCAGTGAATAAAACAATGTATGCAGTGGGGGTCAGTGAATAAAACAATGTATGCAGTGGGGGTCAGTGAATAAAACAATGTATGCACTGGGGGTCAGTGAATAAAAACAATGTATGCAGTGGGGGTCAGTGAATATAACAATGTATGCAGTGGGGGTCAGTGAATATAACATTTGTATGCAGTGGGGGTCAGTGAATAAAACAATGCATGGGGGTCAGTGAATAAAACAATGTATGCAGTGGGGAGTCAGTGAATAAAAACAATGTATGCACTGGGGGTCAGTGAATAAAACAATGTATGCAGTGGGGGTCAGTGAATAAAAAAATGTATGCAGTGGGGTCAGTGAATAAAACAATGTATGCAGTGGGCGCCAGTTAATAAAACAATGTATGCAGTGGGGGTCAGTGAATAAAACAATGTATGGCACTGGGGGTCAGTTAATAAAACAATGTATGCAGTGGGGGTCAGTGAATAAAACAATGTATGCACTGGGGGTCAGTGAATAAAACAATGTATGCAGTGGATTTAGTGAATAAAAACAATGTATGCAGTGGGGGGGGTCAGTGAATAAAACAATGTATGCAGTGGGGGTCAGTGAATAAAACAATGTATGCACTGGGGGTCAGTGAATAAAACAATGTATGCAGTGGGGGTCAGTGAATAAAACAATGTATCCACTGAGGGGGTCAGTGAATAAAACAATGTATGCAGTGGGGGTCAGTGAATAAAACAATGTATGCAGGGGGGTCAGTGAATAAAACAATGTATGCAGGGGGGTCAGTGAATAAAACAATGTGTATATTGCAGGTCAGTGTCTGTAACACAGGTCACTTATTCAACACAATATGTGTATTGCATGTTTGTTTATTAACAACATTGTGCTGGTCAGTTTATCAAATCTATGTTCTGCAGGTGAGTTTCTGTCGATGGGGTACGGTTTTGTGGAATACACGAGGAAGTCAAGTGCAGACAAAGCATTGAAGACATTGCAACATGCGAGTCTGGACGACCATCAGCTGGAACTGAAGATCTCCAACAGAGAGACCACGTATGTACACATGTACCATCCACAGTTGTCTCCTATTGAGTTGCTTGCAGTATCACCATTGATATTTAAGGATGCTGTTCTGGATGTAGTCCAGATTTATTGGCCACTGCCTGTTGACTAAATGCAAAACCTGCGGTGAAATCAGTTTACAACAAACTGACATGCTGTGATGAAACTGAAACTGAAATACGCCGACACACTCATGTACTAAATCATGCACATACACTCACACTCCCTCTCACACACAACTCATGCACTCACATGCTCACTCGCACACACTCTAACACTCATGCATTCACACACACACACACACACACACACCCATGCACTCACATGCTCCAGCATGCACACACTCCAACACGCACACACACCAACACTCACACACTCCCTGTTCAGAGTTTAAAGCCTTCTACCTCACAATATGACCAAAGTTTTAACACAAATGCTGATTATTGTCTTGTGTTTGTTGATTGGATGGCAGGCCTCTCATGTGAACTTTTTATTTCATAATAGCGTCACAAAAGAGTCCAACAAGAAAAAACAGAAAAGCACCAAGCAGAAATCATCCAAGATACTTGTCCGAAATATTCCATTCGAAGTCACACGGAACGAAATCTATGAACTGTTCAAGTATGTATTATATTGCTGGGATTCTGGATAATGATGTTGTCTAGAAAATGTATGTTTGTCACCTTGTGGGGTTCTTAGCCACTCGTCACGCCGAAGACCCGGGTTCGAATCCCCCAATGGGTACAAAGCCCATTTCTGGTGTCCCCCGCCGTGATGTTGCTGGAATATTGCTAAAAGTGGCGTAAAACCAAACTCAGTCAGTCAGTCAGCCCTAGCCACCAGACATGGATTCTTTCTCAACACATCAACAGGTGAATTCTCTGGGTTGTTTCTAGAAATAGTCACAGTCACACATGATAATCGAGAACTAACTTAACCAATGATAATCCATTTCTTGTGGTTTGTTGAGTATTGTCCACATATAGAGACTATACACAGTATTCTATGTTATGTAGAGTGTTTGGTGAGCTCAAGACTGTCCGGCTGCCCAAGAAGCTGAGCGGAACGGGATCACATCGAGGATTTGGGTTTGTCGACTTCCTCACCCGACCTGATGCCAAGGTAGGAAATTACGATTTAGGGTATATCGTATCAGGGTGGCTGTACACGTATTCAGGGCACCAGCGATGTGATGACTGACCCAGACTGGAACCCCTTGACCCCTAGCCCCTGAAGCCATATTGTTGCACCATCCTGGTATTGCCTGTATGTCACCCCTAGCACCTGAAGCCATATTGTTGTACCATCCTGGTATTGCCTGTATATCACCCCTAGCCCCTGAAGCCACATTGTTGCACCATCCTGATATTGCCTGTATATCACCCTAAAGGTGCAAGCCCCTGGCCTCTGAAGCCATATTGTTGTACCATCCTGGTATTGCCTGTATGTCACCCCTAGCCCCTGAAGCCATATTGTTGCACCATCCTGGTATTGCCTGTATGTCACCCTAAAGGTGCTAGCCCCTGAAGCCATATTGTTGCACCATCCTGATATTGCCTGTATATCACCCTAAAGGTGCAAGCCCCTGGCCTCTGAAGCCATATTGTTGTACCATCCTGGTATTGCCTGTATGTCACCCCTAGCCCCTGAAGCCATATTGTTGCACCATCCTGGTAGTGCTTGTATGTCATCCTAAAGGTGCAAGCACCTAGCCCTTGAAGCCATATTGATGCACCATCCTGGTATTGCCTGTATGTCTTCCTAAAGGTGCAAGCACCTAGCCCTTGAAGCCATATTGTTGCACCATCCTGGTATTTCCTGTATGTCACCTCTAGCCCCTGAAGCCATATTGTTGCACCATCCTGGTATTGCCTGTATATCACCCTAAAGGTGCAAGCACCTAGCCCTTGAAGCCATATTGTTGCACCATCCTGGTATTGCCTGTATATCACCCTAAAGGTGCAAGCCCCTAGCCCCTGAAGCCATATTGTTGTACCATCCTGGTATTGCCTGTATGTCACCCCTGGCCCCTGAAGCCATATTGTTGTACCATCCTGGTATTGCCTGTATGTCACCCCTAGCCCTGAAGCCATATTGTTGCACCATCCTGGTATTGCCTGTATATCACCCCTAGGTGCAAAGCCCCTGGCCTCTGAAGCCATATTGTTGCACCATCCTGGTATTGCCTGTATGTCACCCCTAAAGGTGCAAGCCCCTAGCCCCTGAAGCCATATTGTTGCACCATCCTGGTATTGCCTGTCACATCTCTGTGCAAGCACCTAGCCCTGAAGCCATATTGTTGCACCATCCTGGTATTGCCTGTATATCACTAAAGGTGCAAGCACCTAGCCCCTGAAGCCATATTGTTGCACCATCCTGATATTGCCTGTATATCACCCTAAAGGTGCAAGCCCTGGCCTCTGAAGTCATATTGTTGCACCATCCTGGTATTGCCTGTATGTCACCCCTAGCCCCTGAAGCCATATTGTTGCACCATCCTGGTATTGCCTGTATGTGCAAGCACCTAGCCCCTGAAGCCATATTGTTGCACCATCCTGGTATTGCCTGTATATCACCCCTCTAAAGCCACCTAGCCCCTGAAGCCATATTGTTGCACCATCCTGGTATTGCCTGTATATCAGGTGCCCCTAGCCCCTGAAGCCATATTGTTGCACCATCCTGGTATTGTCTGTATGTCACCCCCTAGCCCTGAAGCCATATTGTTGCACCATCCTGGTATTGCCTGTATGTCACCCCTAGCACCTGAAGCCATATTGTTGTACCATCCTGGTATTGCCTGTATGTCACCCCTAGCCCTGAAGCCATATTGTTCACCATCCTGGTATTGCCTGTATGTCACCCTAGCACCTGAAGCCATATTGTTGTACCATCCTGGTATTGCCTGTATGTCACCCCTAGCCCTGAAGCCATATTGTTGTACCATCCTGGTATTGTCTGTATGTCACCCCTAGCACCTGAAGCCATATTGTTGTACCATCCTGGTATTGTCTGTATGTCACCCCTAGCACCATTGTTGTACCATCCTGGTATTGTCTGTAGCCCTAGCCCTTGAAGCCATAGCCATCCTGGTATTGCCTGTATATCACCCTAAATCCAGCCCCTTGAAGCCATATTGATGCACCATCCTGGTATTGCCTGTATGTAGGTGTCACACCTAGCCCCTGAAGCCATATTGTTGCACCATCCTGGTATTGCCTGTATATCACCCCTAGCCCCTGAAGAATTGTTGCACCATCCTGATATTGCCTGTGTCACTCTTGCAAGCACCTATGAAGCCATATTGTTGCACCATCCTGATATTGCCTGTATATCACCCTGTGCAAGCCCCTGCCTCTGAAGTCATATTGTTGCACCATCCTGGTATTGCCTGTATGTCACCCCTAGCCCTTGAAGCCATATTGTTGCACCATCCTGGTATTGCCTGTATGTCACCCCTAGCCCCTGAAGCCATATTGTTGCACCATCCTGATATTGCCTGTATATACCCCTAAAGGTCAAGCCCCTAGCCTCTGAAGCCATATTGTTGCACCATCCTGGTATTGCCTGTATATCACCCTAAATGTGCAAGCACCTAGCCCCTGAAGCCATATTGTTGCACCATCCTGGTATTGCCTGTATATCACCCTAAAGGTGCAAGCACCTAGCCCCTGAAGCCATATTGTTGCACCATCCTGGTATTGCCTGTATATCACCCTAAAGGTGCAAGCACCTACCCCTTGAAGCCATTTTGTTGCACCATCCTGGTAGTGCTTTGTATGTCATCCTAAAGGTGCAAGCACCTAGCCCTTGAAGCCATATTGATGCACCATCCTGGTATTGCCTGTACATCACCCTAAAGGTGCAAGCACCTAGCCCCTGAAGCCATATTGTTGCACCATCCTGGTATTGCCTGTATCACCCTAAAGGTGCAAGCACCTAGCCCTTGAAGCCATATTGTTGCACCATCCTGGTATTGCCTGTATGTCACCCCTAGCCCCTGAAGCCATATTGTTGCACCATCCTGGTATTGCCTGTATGTCACCCCTAGCCCTTGAAGCCATATTGTTGCACCATCCTGGTATTGCCTGTATGTCACCCCTAGCCCTTGAAGCCATATTGTTGTACCATCCTGGTATTGCCTGTATGTCACCCCTAGCCCTTGAAGCCATATTGTTGTACCATCCTGGTATTGCCTGTATGTCAGGTGCAAGCACCCCTGAAGCCATATTGTTGTACCATCCTGGTATTGCCTGTATGTCACCCCTAGCACCTGAAGCCATATTGTTGTACCATCCTGGTATTGCCTGTATGTCACCCCTAGCCCTTTGAAGCCATATTGTTGCACCATCCTGGTATTGCCTGTATGTCACCCCTAGCACCTGAAGCCATATTGTTGCACCATCCTGGTATTGCCTGTATGTCACCCCTAGCCCCTGAAGCCATATTGTTGTACCATCCTGGTATTGTCTGTATGTCACCCTAGCACCTGAAGCCATATTGTTGTACCATCCTGGTATTGTCTGTATGTCACCCCCTAGCACCTGAAGCCATATTGCCATCCTGGTATTGTCATGTCACCCCTAGCCCTTGAAGCCATATTGTTGTAACCATCCTGGTATTGCCTGTATATCACTCCTAAAGGTGCCACCTAGCCCTTGAAGCCATTATTGTTGTTGTACCATCCTGGTATCCTGGGTGCATAGCCCCTGAAGCCTATTGTTGCACCATCCTGTCCTGTATGTCACCCCTGGCCCCTGAAGCCATATTGTTGCACCATCCTGGTATTGCCTGTATATCACCCTAAAAGGTGCAAGCACCTAGCCCTGAAGCCATATTGTTGCACCATCCTGGTATTGCCTGTATGTCAATCCCAAGCAGCTAGCCCCTGAAGCCATATTGTTGCACCATCCTGGTATTCCTGGTATCAATGCCTAAAGGTGCAAGCACCTAGCCCCTGAAGCCATATTGTTGCACCATCCTGGTATTGCCTGTATGTCACCCTAAAGGTGCAAGCACCTAGCCCCTGAAGCCATATTGCACACCATCCTGGTATTGCCTGTATATCTGTAAAGGTGCAAGCACCTAGCCCTTGAAGCCATATTGTTGCACCATCCTGGTATTGCCTGTATGTCACCCTAAAGGTGCAAGCACCTAGCCCCTGAAGCCATATTGTTGCACTATCCTGGTATTGCCTGTATGTCACCCTAAAGGTGCAAGCCCTAGCCCCTGAAGCCATATTGTTGCACCATCCTGGTGTTGCCTGTATATCACCCTAAAGGTGCAAGCCCCTAGCACCTGAAGCCATATTGTTGCACCATCCTGGTGTTGCCTGTATATCACCCCTAGCCCCTGAAGCCATATTGTTGCACCATCCTGGTGTTGCCTGTATATCACCCTAAAGGTGATAATTTCTTGCACTTCTATATGTACTTCAGTGATGATCAACAGAAAATGTTTTCAAGAATCCTGTTTTAAAATAAAGCTGTCAGCAGGTCGGTGAAGTATGGTCAGCGGACAACCCCGAGGTCCTTGCCTGTTGTGGAGCTTCACACAAAACAATATCATATAACTATTGTTACGAGTTATTCATTGTGCAACAATGTTTCACCTGTTATACATTATACCTGTAGCATCAGTGAGGGGCAGGGGTGTGCTCTAGTTAGACAGACTCTTGGAATGAGTTCCACATCCATTGTTTGATGTAATCGCCCTGTCTCCACATGTACAATATAGAACAAACTTTATTGATAACAACTCCTTTTATTTGTGAGTGCGACGTTTCCATACAGATTCAAGCATGCTTGACAATGGTGCAAGAATCTGTATCGAAACGTCGCACTCACGAATAAAAGAAGTTGTTATCCATAAAGTTTGTTCTGTATTGTACTTCCCAACTTCTAAAATGCCACTCAAAGAAGTTCCACCTGTACAATGTCGAGATGGAGACCCCACCTGCCTGTGTGTTTGTTCCAGAGGGCCTTCAATGCTCTGTGTCATAGCACCCACTTGTTTGGGCGTCGCCTCGTCCTGGAGTGGGCGGAGGCTGAGGAGACAGTGGATGATCTGCGGAGGAAGACGGCGGAGAGGTTCCATGATGGTAGGTAGATGACCTCCACTGACTACTGCTCCGTAGAGGTCATCATTAACTCCAACCAACAGACTTTCAGAGCTAATCTATCATGTGATAATCAAATGAAGTTATTTCTTTCCCTCGTAGAGTCGTAAATAGTTAGTCACTTTTCAGATAAAGATTATGGAAAACTTCATCGTACATTTATGAAAACAGTTTGAGTTTTGTACACAGTAAATGACAACAGTGGGAGCACTGAGGTCAGTTCATCCATGAAGATCCGGGTTAGAATATTGATCTTCAGTAACCTATGCTTGTCGTAAGAGGCGACTAACAGGATCGGGTGGTCAAGCTAGCTGACTTGGTTGACACCTGTCATCAGTTCCCAATGGATGCTCATGCTGTTCATCACTGGATTGTCTGGTCCTGACTCGATTATTTACAGACCACCTCAATATAGCTGGAATATTGCTGAGTGCGGTGTAAAACTAATTTCACTCACTCACTCATCCTTGACTTCATTATCTATGTCAGCAGCCTGTGTGTTAGCCTGTTGGTTCAAGCAGTCACTCATAGCACCATAGACTAAAGATTGAGAGCACACATGCACATTATTGTGACCTGTTTGTTTGATGTACTAATATATCTGCTCATAACAGTGTTACTTTCGTCAAAACTAGGCTGATATATTTCCTAGTGGTGTGACGATTCATCGATACGCATCGATGCATCGATTCATGGGCCGCCGATACAGTGAATCGATTCAAAGTTTTACATTGTCGTATATCCTGATACGATACTTCAAATGGGCCACAGTACATCGATGTTTAACTTTAAATATTGCCAAATCGCGATATCTGTCAAGAAAAAAGACACGTTTGATGATTAAAATATTTGCTTACTCATTTTTCCTTTATAAGTACACGTTTTCTCGAAAATTCTTGCCTCAAGAATTGTGTCAGACATAGCGCTCGCATGTTATTAACATTCACAAAGTCTGTGTATAAACTTCATTATCTCGTTTCCGAATAAACATTGACAAACGTTGGCGGAATTTGATGAAATACTATAAAAGGTTTTGTTTTGATCTTAAGGTGTTTTACAGTTGGTGTTAGAATTAAAGATTTATTATCGTGAATATATCGTTGTGACTATAATTTTAGTATCGTGATGTATCGTATAGCAGGTTGTATGCCAATACCAGCACTAATATTTCCAGATAAGCAGAAGAACAGGACTCTGCTTGCATTTGTTTTCTTTCAAGTGATCAATCCTTGAGACTGTTGTTGCAGCCAGTTCATATACACAACCTGGACGTCAATGTTGAATATAGATTTGTTTGTTTTGTTTGTTTGTATGTTGTTTAATGCTGCACGCAGCAATATTCCAGTTATATGATGGTCTGTAAATAATCAAGCAGGGACCAGACAATCCAGTGATCAACATCATGAGCTTCAGTCTGCAGATTTGTGATGTGATGACATGTGTCAACCAAGTCTGCGAGCCTGACCACCCAATCTTGTTAGTCGCCTCTTACGTCAAGCAGCAAAATTATTTTGTCATGATGTACTGACAGTTGTCATGTACTGATGTGTATTGATGATTATCATGATGTACTAATGTACTGATCATTGTCAACATGTACTTACTATTGTCATGTGACTGGTATTTACAGATGGGCCCTCCAAGAAACTGAGGAAGTCCTCCATCATGGAGGACCTGGCACCATCCTGAGCCTGACTGCAGCCTGCCGAGGTTCAGTGTACATAGACTGTACAGAAACCCGTGAGGAAGTGTATACGTGTACATAGACTGTATCAGAAACCTGTGAGGGAGCGTATACGTGTACATAGACTGTATCAGAAATAAACTCGAATGTGAACATGATGTGTCAAAGGGTTGTCAAATAAACTATTGCAGACACTGGTCCCTGTATACGTTTGTTCCTGCAGACACTGATCCTCACAGACTCTGGTCCCCACAGACTCTGGTCCCCACAGACTCTGGTCCCCACAGACACTGGTCCCTACAGACACTGGTCCCTGCAGACACTGGTCCCCACAGACACTGGTCCCCACAGACTTCGGTCCCTGCAGACACCGGTCCCCGTAGACACAGTCCCCACAGACACTGGTCCCTGCAGACACCGATCCCTGCAGACACTGGTCCCTGCATACGTTTGTCCCTGCAGACACTGATCCTCACAGACACCGGTCCCTGCAGACACTGATCCCTGCAGACACTGGTCCCTGCAGACACCGATCCCCGTAGACACAGTCCCCACAGACTCTGGTCCCCACAGACTCTGGTCCCCACAGACACTGGTCCCTGCAGACACTGATCCTCACAGACTCTGGTCCCCACAGACTCTGGTCCCCACAGACACTGGTCCCTACAGACACTGGTCCCTGCAGACACTGGTCCCCACAGACACTGGTCCCTGCAGACACCAGTCCCCGTAGACACAGTCCCCACAGACACTGAGACACCAGACCCCGGTCCCCCCCGCAGACACTGGTCCCTGCAGACACTGATCCTCACAGACACCGGTCCCCACAGACTCTGGTCCCCACAGACACTGGTCCCTGCAGACACTGATCCTCACAGACACCAGTCCCTGCAGACACCGGTCCCTGTAGACGCTGGTCCTCGCAGACACTGGTCCCTGCAGACACTGATCCCTGCAGACACCGGTCCCCGTAGACACAGTCCCCACAGACACTGGTCCCTGCAGACACCGATCCCTGCAGACACTGGTCCCTGTATACGTTTGTCCCTGCAGACACTGATCCTCACAGACACCGGTCCCTGCAGACACTGATCCCTGCAGACACCGATCCCCGTAGACACAGTCCCCACAGACTCTGTCCCCACAGACTCTGGTCCCCACAGACACTGGTCCCTGCAGACACTGATCCTCACAGACTCTGGTCCCCACAGACTCTGGTCCCCACAGACACTGGTCCCTACAGACACTGGTCCCTGCAGACACTGGTCCCTACAGACACTGGTCCCCACAGACACTGGTCCCCACAGACTCTGGTCCCTGCAGACACCAGTCCCCGTAGACACAGTCCCCACAGACACTGGTCCCTGCAGACACCGATCCCCACAGACACTGGTCCCTGCAGACACTGATCCTCACAGACACCAGTCCCTGCAGACACCGGTCCCTGTAGACGCTGGTCCTCGCAGACACTGGTCCCTGCAGACACTGATCCCTGCAGACACTGGTCCCCAGACACTGGTCCCTGCAGACAGACACTGATCCCTGCAGACACAGTCCCCACAGACACTGGTCCCTGCAGACACTGATCCCTGCAGACACCGGTCCCTGCAGACACCAGTCCCTGCAGACACTGATCTGTGCAGACACCAGTCCCTGCAGACACTGATCCGTGCAGACACTGATCCCTGCAGACACTGATCCCTGCAGACACCAGCCCCTGCAGACACCGGTCCCTGCAGACGCTGAGCCCTGCAGACACCAGTCCCTGCAGACACCAATCCCTGCAGACACTGAGCCCTGCAGACACCAGTCCCTGCAGACACTGATCCGTGCAGACACCGGTCCCTGCAGACACCAGTCCCTGCAGACACTGATCCGTGCAGGCACCGGTCCCTGCAGACACTGAGCCCTGCAGACACCAGTCCCTGCAGACACTGATCCGTGCAGACACCAGCCCCTGCAGACACCGATCCCTGCAGACACTGATCCGTGCAGACACCAGCCCCTGCAGACACTGAGCCCAGCAGACACCAGTCCCTGCAGACGCTGATCCCTGCAGACACCAATCCCTGCAGACACTGATCCCAGCAGACACCAGTCCCTGCAGACGCTGATCCCTGCAGACACCAATCCCTGCAGACACTGATCCCTGCAGACACTGATCATGCAGACACCAGTCCCTTCAGACACTGATCATGCAGACACTGATCATGCAGACACCAGCCCCTGCAGACACTGAGTCCTGGAGACACCAATCCCTGCAGACACTGAGCCCTGCAGACACCGATCCCTGCAGACACTGATCATGCAGACACTGATCCCTGCAGACACTGATTATGCAGACACCAATCCCTGCAGACACTGAGCCCTGGAGACACCAGCCCCTGCGGACACCGATCCCTGCAGACACTGATCATGCTGGCACCAATCCCTGCAGACACTGCTCCCCTAAGACACCGATCCATGCAGACACTGGTCCCTGCAGACACCGATCCCTGGAGACACCAGCCCCTGCAGACACTGAGCCCTTCAGACACCAGTCCCTGCAGACACTGATCCGTGCAGAGACCGGTCCCTGCAGACACCAGTCCCTGCAGACACTGATCCGTGCAGACACCGGTCCCTGCAGACACTGAGCCCTGCAGACACCAGTCCCTGCAGACACTGATCCGTGCAGACACCAGCCCCTGCAGACACCGGTCCCTGCAGACACTGATCCCTGCAGACACCAGTCCCTGCAGACACTGATCCGTGCAGACACCAGCCCCTGCAGACACCAGTCCCTGCAGACACTGATCCCTGCAGACACCAATCCCTGCAGACACTGATCCCAGCAGACACCAGTCCCTGCAGACGCTGATCCCAGCAGACACCAATCCCTGCAGACACTGATCCCAGCAGACACCAATCCCTGCAGACACTGATCATGCAGACACTGATCATGCAGACACCAGTCCCTTCAGACACTGATCATGCAGACACTGATCATGCAGACACTGAGTCCTGCAGACACTGCAGACCTGCAGACACCAGCCCCCTGCAGACACTGATCCCCTGCAGACACCGATCCCTGCAGACACTGATCACTGCAGACACCGATCCCTGCAGACACCGATCCCTGCAGACACTGATCATGCAGGCACCAATCCCTGCAGACACTGCTCCCCTCAGACACCGATCCATGCAGACACTGGTCCCTGCAGACACCAATCCCTGCAGACACCAATCCCTGCAGACACTGCTCCCCTCAGACACCGATCCATGCAGACACTGGTCCCTGCAGACACCAATCCCTGCAGACACCGATCCCTGCAGACACCAATCCCTACAGACACCAGCCCCTGCAGACACCAATCCCTGCAGACACTGATCATGCAGACACTGAGCCCTGCAGACACCTGTCCCTGCAGACACCGACCCCTGCATACACTGAGCCCTGGAGACACCAGCCTCTGCAGACACTGAGCCCTGCAGACACTGATCATGCAGACACCAGCCCCTACAGACACTGCTCCCCTCAGACACCGATCCCTGCAGACACTGGTCCCTGCAGACACTGATCCCTGAAGACACCAGCCCCTGCAGACACTGAGCCCTGGAGACACCAGCCCCTGCAGACACTGATCCCTGGAGACACCAGTCCGTGCAGACACTGATCCCTGGAGACACTGATCATGCAGACACTGATCCCTGCAGACACTGATCCCTGCAGGGACCAGTGTCTGCAGACACCAATCCCTGCAGACACCAGATCCCTGCAGACACTGATCATGCAGACACTGATCCCTGCAGACACTTATCCCCTCAGACACCGATCCCTGCAGACACTGGTCCCTGCAGACACCAATCCCTGCAGACACTGATTATGCAGACACTGATCCCTGCAGACACCGATCCCTGCAGACACTGGTCCCTGCAGACTCCTGTCCCTTCAGACACTGGTCCCTGCAGGCACTGGTTCATGTGCACAAAGGAGTTGACAATGTGAACATGCACACACGTTCAAGCGCCAAACAAAACGGGGTAGATTTTATACGCGCATCTCATGAGCCGTCAGCAGTTACCTCCCTTGCATCAGTGATCAATTTGAGTTCTTCGAGCTGTGGTAGTTTAAGATACGCGAACAAACAAAGCAGTCCCCCTACCTCTCTTTCTCGTGCGCTCCCTGCTTCTCTAACAAATATGCAATACTGAAAATTTACAGATATATATTTGAACATGTTAAAATGTGAGACTCAACTCAGCCACAGCCGCCTCAACAAATGACGGTTTCCTTGGGTTCCGTACATAATAATGAGTAACAAGATTCCCATGTGAGTTGTATATATCGAATATGCTTCAATAACGGCTCTATATGAACCAATGAATCTCAATTATGTGTTTGTTACATGCGGCCTTAATCTCTCGATCACACACCAGCTCACACCAGCTCGCTCGTTTACGAACGCACGACTCAAGTCACTGACCGGAGCTGGCTGGTGAAAATGGTTCTACAACATAAACCTCTACGACTATTTATTTTTCTATTTGTAGGCTTCAGTGCAACTGCAACAGTGTACAGGGACATTGAACTGGCCACTTCACAGCAGGGGAGGGGGGTGTGCCCATGACACACCCTTCGTGTGAGGCTGTACACGTTATAGGTGTGCCCGCCAGCTCATATCCAAACTAGTGCTAATTTTCGTTTTGGTGCTGGTGTTTTATTAAGTGTAAGTATCATGTAATCCCGTTGCCCTCTTCTAAACGGGTGTCTGGGGATTTCAGATGGACACTTAACGGTGGCGTCGTGGTGCTTTCTGACACCTCGTCATCTTCGTAGTTATAGTGCGCCGCCCCTCTCTCTCTCTCTGTCTCTCTCTCTGTGTCTCTCCCTGACTCTCTGTCTCTCTTTCTCTATCTATGTCTCTCTCTCTCTCTCTCTCTCTCTCTCTCTCTCTCTCTCTCTCTGTGTGTCTCTCTGTCTGTCTCTCTCTCTGTGTCTCTTTCTCTCTCTCTCTCTCTCTGTTCTCTGTCTGTCTCTCTCTGTGTCTCTCTGTCTGTCTCTCTCTCTCTGTGTCTCTCTCTCTCTCTCTCTGTCTCTCTCTCTCTCTCTCTCTCTCTCTCTCTCTCTCTCTCTCTCTCTCTCTCTCTCTCTCTCCCTTTATTGCATGAGA